GGTATCACTTCGATGCTTTGGCATTACCCCCCCCCCCCCTACCCCCCGGTAATGCCAAACTTCGGTAAAGGGGGGGGGGGCAACTTTTTCGTTAGAATCAATTTTTTGCATTGAAATAGAGAACGACTTTCTACACCGTTTTTGCATAATTACTAAACGCGAAACAAAAAAGTCGGTTTTTGACGGAAATTTCGAATTTCGTTTCTTCCAGAGTTTTGCCCTTAAAATATAGCTAAATTTTACGAAAAACGGTATTTAAATAATAAAATTCACGTTATTGGGTTTTTCTAGACGTACATAAAAAAATATCCCGTCCCCCCCCCCCGATAATGCAAAAGCAACATCACCTCTTACCTTAAGAACCATTAACCAGAACCAGAACCAGAACCATCTCACTTTATAGGAAACCAGTTGGCCGTTTTCTATTCGTACCACAAAATCGGTCGGAGCTCATACCTCATAAAATGATGTGGTTGGGTGGAGAGAGAGCGAGAGAGAGAGAGATATGTGGTGCTCCTCCCCTTATTCCTCCTACTTTTCCTCCTCCTCCCTCTGACCGCCGGACCAAATGCCCCCTCACGCGCAGTCAAATGCGAAAATGTGAGGGTGGATGGTGCTGCTGTAAGGAGTCGCGTTTTAGAAAGCAGAGGGAGAGAGGGAAGAGCTTTTTGCCCGCAGCCGGAATGGCTGTCGGGAAGGCAGACAGACATACATACAAACACAGACGGACAGACAAACGGGAAAGTAGTCGCGCGCGAATTCGCATTATACACGCTCATTAGATCCCGATGGTCGGCCCCCCTCTTTTCTGTCCCTTCCCTTCCGTTTGACGGAAGACGACTCCACTTTGCTCTGGTTTTTGACTACCGGCTGTGTGTGCCGTCGATAGGATTGATTTGTTGGAGTTGGGATTTGGGTTTAAAGAGACTAGGAAAGCAGGAAAATTGCTGATCACAGGCCTAAGAAAAGCTGCCAGCACTTTTTCTAGCAGGTAATTTCTAAATAAGAAATTTTTTTCCTCAGAAATACTAAATTCTGCCTTGCCTAAGCTCTTAAAACCAGCAAAAACTTCCAAAAGCTGCTGTTTTAGCGCTTTGAAGACAGAATCTAACAACTTTTCTAGCCGCTTTTTTAGCCAATTTTTGATTTATAAGCTATCGCTCCTTTGCAGCCTACAATTCCTGATAAAATGCTCATAGTTAGGCTTAGAAAAGCTCGCATTTGCCGTGATACCCCGAATTTTCCACATTGACCCACCTACCACACCCATCCCCCCCCTCCAAAACGGCCGGCTTGTATTGTTGGATTTCATGAGATGGGCAGGAGGAGAAAGGGGGGAAAGGGCAATTTCATGGGCTCTTAAGATGCGCCCTCACCCGCATTTTTGCCGAGGAATCGACGGCGATTTTCGATCTTTCCCTGGAATTTTTAATTTTTTTCGGTTGCGGTGTTTAGCTATTCGAGGGATGTCGCTATCCCTTTAAAGGGACTAATTACCGCAAAAATTGAATCTTCCAGGCGACCCGGTCGCGAACTACATGGCCTTACAAAAAAAACGCAAAGAAATGAAAGAAATTCGCTAAAAAGCGTTTGAAAACGTCATTTTGCGTATTACGTAGATGTCTAGACCTAGTCGAACTAGGAGGTTGATTTTCGCACAACCTAACCCATTTTATGCACAATTTGGTCTTTACGCTTTTTTCTAGCCCAATTTTCTCCAGCGTAGTTTGGTGGCGTCTCGTCTCGTACCTGTCGAAATCTAGTCGATCGCAGGGGTTGATTCTTGCATTCCAAACCCCTTTAGACCACTTTTAGGCACTTGTCGTTAAATTTTGGAAGTTAACTAGATATTAGAGGCTGACAAAGCGCGGTTTGGAGCGACAAAGCTACACGTGGCTGTCGAGCTCTAGCCAATCTCAGGAGTCGATTATCACCTTTTTAGTCCCATTAAAATGTCCGAATTTCGACCTTTGGCCATTACCCCGATCCCCGATATACCAATGTTGATGATGATGATGGCCGGACATGGTTGTGGCCGAACCATCAGAAACCTGTCGGATTTGTGCCCCCGTCCCGGCACACTCGACAACCCTTTCCTCTGCCCCCCCGTTTTTGCTATCCCTCTCGGTGCCCCCTAAAAACCTCGGAAATCAATGTCCCTCCTCGGCGATCTCCGCCCCCTCATCATGGCCAGATGATGGTCGCTGTTCCTTGAAACGGGATACACCTGTTTGCACTTCCGGTTTTGTGGTTTTGAGTAGAATCAGGCTACAGCGTAGCATTTGGAGAATTTTCTTCGCTTTCGATGCGGTCAAACTTTTCTGAAAAGATTAACGTTCCTTTTGACATAGAAAATTAATTTTTAACGTTGTTCATAGCTGTAAGTCGCGATTTTGGAGTGAAAATGTCGATGCAAAATTGTTTTCTGCATTTTTTATTGATGTGGGGCTTTGAATTGGAGAAATAGGGATATGTGAACTTGAGATTTTCCAGGTTTGAAAGGTTAGGAACATTTTGTAGATTTTAAGATGTCGTTTTCCGTGTTCTAAGCTGCCTTAAGATCACAAAAATCCTTGCGAAATACCGGGAAAAATTCCACAACATCGAAAAAACTTTTCAGGGAAGTGAAAACGATGGATTTTGACTTTCGGGCTATGGTTTCCCTGAGTTTTTCAATGGTCTTTTATCGCGTAGCGTATTACCTCCTCAGCGTAGTCACGCGGCGCGCTCGGCGTCGCGTGTCGCGGGGGGGGGGGAATCGTCCAAAAAATTAGTCAATCCGCAGCAAGGCGAACAAAAGCCATATGTTTTGCCTTGTCGATCCTTTCAAAACACGAAATAACTCGCTGAAATGCTACAAAAATCCAGCGGGTCGAGCCAAGTGTGAACTCGATTTTGCCAGACACCGATCCTATAAACGTAACTGTAAAACCATCTAGGTCCAAACTCCGATCAAAAACCGATCCCCGAACGTCAGTTTCAAAACCACAAAACGCAAATCCCAAAAAAAAATCAATGTTCCAGCCCTCTCAATCCCTTTTAATGATTAGTGGTGGAGTGGATGGATTTAGTTGTGTGTGAGTGAGTGTGTCGACCGGAGGGTTGATGGGTGATGGCCGATGGAGTCTATTTGCCGTGTGTCGGTGGCCGATCCGATCGAGGCGATGAGGGGAGGGGGGACCCTTTGAATTGTTTGAACAAAAATGACACATCTGACGCGCCCCTTTAGGGGCACCGGGGGGCTCCCACGGCTCCTTGACACTCCATCAATAGCTGCTGCGGGTGGGGGATATTCGGGCTACTGTACTGGCTATTGGGGCGTTTAATATGCTTAGCTGGCTTGGCTTAGGCGTCGGCTTAGGCTCAAGGAAGGGCTTAGGCTTAGGCTTAGGCTTAGCTCAGCTTCGGCTTTTGGCTTAGGCTAACAAGGCTTAAGCTTCTGCGTGCTGAGCCACAACTTCACGATACTTTTACACTATTTTAAACTACCGAAAAGACCCCAAATTTGTACATTTCTTGACCCAACCCCGCCCCTCCACCCCTTGTTAATGGGATCGGCCCGGGATTCGTTGGTTGCGGGGTTTCTGGCGCGGCGCGTCGGCCAAATGGGATAACGTGTTAAGTGATTTCCGCATTTTCCTCTGTCCTCCTCCACCCCATTTTAGCCGGTAGATGACCGCGTTGGCGTTGAAGTTCGGATTTTATCTTGATATTAATTTACTATCGTAATCCATTAAACGTGGTGTTTTCCAGTTTTTGCCGTCTTTATTGGGCGTTATTAAATATGTCTTAAGCTACTCTGAACGCTTTAAAACGATCGTGCGATGAAATGCTAGCTGGTACCATCCCTTTAATCTCCCTTTTCACGAATTTTAGCATTCCTTTTTATTTCGTGATTTAATTATCCAAAAGTTCTCTCTTTCTCTCGCTCTTTCGCTTTCTCGCTGTCCCCCTCTCCCGAACTCTCTTTTTTCGTTTCTCTACCATATACCTCAATTACCGTAAACCCCCTTCTCCAGCTTGGGCAGCTTCGCGGATACGATAGCGGGGCTGAAGCGGGGCTCGTGCGGGCTGGGCGGCGGTGGATCGGTGGAGTGGGGCGAGTGCTCAGAGAAGAGCCCCCGGCTCAGCCAAGCCGGCCTCGCCCACCACCAAGCCCAAGCCCTTCAGCAAGCCGCGCAACAAGCCGTTGTTCTACAGCAACAGGGACACCAGTTAGCCGCCTCGCAACATCATCATCTACTTATGGCGGCACAAGTTATTGCCGATCCCACGTTTCCGCAATGGGCCACACCGGCCGCTGTTCAGCAACAGCCGCCACAGCCACCCCCTGCCCCACAGGAACCGTTGCCGAAGGTAGAAGAGGGGTGGAGAAGATCAGACGTAGGCTTAGGCTTAGCTTAGGCAGGCCTTAGGCTCGGCTTATGCCTGAGCTTAGGCTCGGCTTAGGCTTTGGCTTGGGCTTTGGCTTAGGCTTAGGCTTAGGCTTAGGCTTAGGCTTAGGCTTTGGCTTAGGCTTAGGCTTAGGCTTAGGCTTAGGCTTAGGCTTAGGCTTAGGCTTAGGCTTAGGCTTAGGCTTAGGCTTAGGCTTGGAAGCTTAGGCTTAGGCTTGGGCTTGGGCTTGCAGGCGGCTAGGCTTGGGCTTAGGCTTGGGCTTAGGCTTAGGCAGGCTTAGGCTTAGGCTTAGGCTTGGCAGCGGGCAGGCTTAGGCTTAGGCTTGGGCTTGGAGCTTAGGCTTAGGCTTAGGCTTAGGCTTGGGGCTTAGGCTTAGGCTTAGGCTTGGAGGCTTAGGCTTAGGCTTAGGCTTGGCCAGGCTTAGGCTTAGGCTTAGGCTTAGGCTTAGGCTTAGGCTTAGGCTTAGGCTTAGGCTTAGGCTTAGGCTTAGGCTTAGGCTCAGGCTTAGGCTTAGACCGCAAGACTTTCAGCTAATAACCATCCAATAACTATAAGGTAAAATTAAGATACCTTCGAGGTAATCCCAGCAAAATTTAACCAGAGGCATGGTTCTGGCTGGTAAAAAAAATTCGATAAATCATAAAATCATAGGACTTGCAATCAGTTCTAACTCATCAATTTCCAGGGTCTCCTCGTCGGCGGCTCGGGCTCCTCGCAGCTCGACATCACGGGTGGCACTCAGCAGGCCCCAAATTCCGTCCTCCGGGTGATTATTGAAAATATGATGGTGCCAGTGACGCTTGACATACTATACGAGGTACGTTGTCGCATTAAAAACTGAAAATTCCGAGTTTTTCTAGATTTTTCATCGATTCGGCAAAGTGCTCAGGATTATTACGTTCAACAAAAACAGTTAGTTTTGATACCTAAAAGTGAATAAAGTAATATTAGATACTTTCCAAGCCCTCGTCCAGCTAAGTGAGGCCAGGGCGGCGCAGTTGGCGCGACAGGCGCTTGATAATCAGGTAATGAATTTTAGCGAACTTAGGCTTGGCTGAAGCTTCGCTTAGGCTTGGCTTAGGGTTGGTTTAGGCTTTGGCTTACGCTTAGGCCTGGCCCAGGTTTACGCGCGGCTCCAGGCACTGGCTTGGGCTCAAGCTTAGGCTTAGGTTGGAGGTTTAGGCTTAATTTAGGCGAGGCTTAAGCTGAGGCTTCGGTCTAGTTTTAGGCTTAGGCTTCAGCCCTTCAGTTTCATTGAATGTACCTAACCCCTCTTTTTCCAGAACGTCTTCAACGGGTGCTGCACACTTCGCATAGACTACAGCAAATTGGCGACGCTGAACGTCAAGTACAACAACGACAAGAGCCGTGACTACACCAATCCGAATCTGCCGTCCGGCGAGCTGACTCTTGAGCAGCAGCTCAGCTTGGGTATGTTTTTAAGGGATTACGCTAACAATTCTGTATTTTGGCTTTGAACTGATTCGGGATATTTTCTCGAGTATTACTTACCTTGGTTGTAGGTTTCTTTTCAGTATCAGCCAATCTTCCGCCCGGCTCGATGTTGCCGTCATTTGCATTCCCGTTCGCGTCAGCAACACCGACAGCATTTATCGCACCACAGCAGGCTGCAGCGTTGTCGAGTGGTGAGTTGGAAGGATAGGGAGAGAGAGAGAACTAGACAGAGAGAGAGAGAGAGAACGAGAGAGAGAAAGAACGAGAGATGAGAAAGAGCGAGAGAAAGAGAGAGAGGGAGAATTGAGAGAGAGGGCGAGTGCGATAGTGAGCAAGAAAGAGAGAGAGAGAGAGAGAGAGAGAGAGTGAGAGAGAGAGAGAGAGAGAGATTGACAAACCTTTCCCTTCAGAAACCCTCGCCGCCGCCTCATCCGTCTCGCCATTCCTCAGCAGTCTCGGTGCTGCTTCTGGCCTCGGTCTCGGCGCCCTAAACCCCACCGGGCTCAACACAGGACTACGGTAGGTTTTCTGTACTTCATCAGCTTTCCAATTCGCATTTTTAGCTTCCCAGTAACCCTCCTCAACGTGACGAGCGTCGTGCTGGTGTCAAACTTGGACGAACAGGTGGGTGTTCGGGTCTTCCCCACCCCTTTAAAGGGACTTGGAAGGCAGCGTTTTCCGTAGATTTTGATGCTAGAGGTGCTTTCCAAGTCCCTTTAATGTGACGCCCTCCTTCCGCTTCATTACCCCCTTCTTTCCCTGACTATCTCTCGTTCTCTCTCCATCCCTCCCTCTCTCTCTAGCTGTCCCGTTCTAGTCCGATTTTGCGTTCACACCAGCTATTTTTTTGCTGTCTTTTGACTGTAGCGAGTGTTTAGTGCTGTGGCTGGTTGGTTTTTGTAATATTCTTAAGAGAGCGAGAGAGAGAGAGAGAGAGAGAGAGAGAGAGAGAGAGAGAGAGAGAGAGAGAGAGAGAGAGAGAGAGAGAGAGAGACGAAAGAGAGCGCGGAGGAGCCAGAGAAACAGAGAGAAGGGAAGAAAAAGACGAGAGAGCGAGAGATAGATATACAGGGTGTCCCAAAAAAAAAGACCCCCCCAAAAATTTGAGCCAGAGGGCACCCACGGAGATGAAAATTTGCACAGAGGTAGCGAAGCCAATTTTCTATGAACAAGGAAAGTTTCAGCCCGATCGGCCCGCTAGTTTTAAAGTTATGGCGAAAATACTTTTCATTTTTAATTTAATATGGGGATCTATGCAGTTTGCATAAAAAATATGCGTTATTCTTGCATTTACGAGCCGATTTTGCATAAATTTCGCCAAAAAGTGCCAGTTTTTTTGCTGGAGCATGGGGAAAACGATTGCTCATGTAGCGAAAAATAACCAGGAAAACCACGGAGTACAAGAGATCTTCGTTGCAAGTATCGTGTAGCGACTTGACTTAGCTTATACTTCAGCGTACGCTGCAAACCAGGCCCAAAACCAAACCTGAGCACTACTTTGGAGCTCGTCAAACTCTGTTTCCGGGCCGATGAAGCTCAGATTGCTAAAATGTACAATAACAAGTAGTTTGGATCAATAACACAGTTGTTTTAACACTTTTTTTATTCTTTATACGCAATCGTTTTCCAAAAGCTCCTTCACGAAACTGGCACTTTTTGGCGAAATTTATGTAAAACCAGGGTTGAAAAGCCGCTTCGCGGCTTTTCAACCCTGGCCCCGTCTGACCCCGTTTTATCCTTCACTTTGCATAATTTTCCTGAATTCAGATGACAAAAAATGAAAAACTACCTTTTAAACCCCTTTATATAGTCGAATCCCCACTTCCGGTCTACGCTAATTGTTCCTAACAAAGATGTTTTTACAAAAACTTAAATTTAATGTCGAAAATAGGTGATTTTGTTAAATCTGATATGCGTGCAGTCATCTCCAGGCCATTACGCATCTAATGACGTATCATACATACCTTAAAATTCATCCCCTATCGAGATATCCTCCGGACAGCCATCCGGAAGTGGATGCAAAGTGGCACACACAGACACACACACACACAGACACTATTTTTTTATATATAGTAGGATCAGCTCGTAAATTCAAGAATAACGCATATCTTTGATGCAAATCATATAGATCCCCATATTAAATTAAAAATGAAAAGTATTTTCGCCATAACTTTAAAACTAGCGGGCCGATCGGGCTGAAACTTTCCTTGTTCATAGAAAATTGGCTTCGCTACCTCTGTGCAAATTTTCATCTCCGTGGGTGCCCTCTGGCTCAAATTTTTGGGGGGGTCTTTTTTTTTGGGACACCCTGTATATATAGAGAGAGAGAGAGAGAGAGAGAGAGAGAGAGAGATAGTGTGACAGTGAGAGAGCGGGAGAGAGAGAGACAGAGAGCGAGAGAGAGCGAGAGAGAGAGAGAGAGAGATAGAGAGAGCTAGCTGGAGAGTGAGAGACAAAGAAAGTGGAACAGACTTGACAGTTTTCAGTTCTTTTTTCCCCTAAACCAGCTAGCTACCGTACTTTCCTGCTTTCTCTCACCTCCTATAGCTTACCAAACTATAAAGATCATTTACCTCCTTACCTTTTCCATCTCTCGCTCCCTAATTCTCTGCCTCCTTCCCTATTCCCTCTTTCGGCGCCCTATATTTCTCTCTATTCCTATTTCTATCTTTTTCCGTTTCAGAAGGCCACCCCGGACGCCCTCTTCACCCTCTTCGGTACGTCCAACCATTTCTCCGCTATCCCCCTAAGGGCTACAGTAACCCCCTTCACACCATGCCAATCCACGTACACACTATATTTCCGCTCCTCTAGCCGTTTCCTCTAAGTTGTTTTTATGCCGTCGATACCTTTTAACTACTTATTTTCCGCCACGAAACACGCAACGGTTATGTGGGAGTTATTTTCGAATTTTCGAAGGGTAGCTTAAAATTAGAACTTGCTAGAATTATTCGGTCAAATTATTTTTTAATGTTTAAAGCGCTTGGGCTGAGGGGCTTAGGCTTAGGCTTCGGTTCCGGCTTAGGCTTATGCTAACCTAAGGTCTAGGCTTCGGCTTAGGGTTGCGCTTAGGTTTAGACTGAGGCTTAGGTAAGTTTTAAGCTAAGGATAGGCTTAGGCTTAGGCTTAGGCTAAAGCATGAGCTTAGCTTAGGCTTAGGCTTTGGCTTAGGCTTGGGCGTGGGCTTCGACTTAAGCTTTAAAGGAACAGTGACACGTTAAAAATTTCTGGACAATTAGCTACGTCTAGCTGCTATGCCTAAAAAAATTTCCGGCCTCTAATCCCTTTTGTGTGTGGGGACTTTCCACCCGGGGCCCATTTTCCTAAATCCTGACCCCGTTACCGTACCCTGTAGGCGTCTACGGCGATGTGTTGCGCGTGAAGATCCTGTTCAACAAGAAGGACAACGCCCTCATCCAGTACTCCGAGCCGCAGCAGGCGCAACTTGGTGAGTTTAGGGGAGAAAAAAAAGCGTATTTTTACATGCGCATTTTGGAGCATCGCGTAGCTGTCAAGACCTAGTCGATGTAAGGTGTCGATTTTTACTGACTGCAAACTCAGAAAAACAATAAATTAAGCTCTTTTTTAGCCATTCAACACCTCGACAAGATCAAATGGAATGAGAAGGTGATTCGCGTCGCTGCTTCAAAGCATACTACGGTTCAGATGCCAAAGGTTCGCTGCCTAGGAAAAATTAGACCTAATAAATGCTCCCGTTCGCCATACCTACCCGGGAACAGGCTCGCACGCCAAGCTTCCTAGCCCCTTTAATTCGCAAAATTATCAGAAAAACCGAGCTGAAGTTTATTCTCAATTTCAGGAAGGCCAACCGGACGCCGGACTCACCCGCGACTACGCCCACTCACCCCTGCACCGCTTCAAGAAGCCGGGCAGCAAGAACTACATGAACATCTACCCACCATCATCCACCCTCCATCTATCAAACATCCCGCCCACCATCACCGAGGAGTTCCTCGCCCAGGCGTTTACTGATAATGGATACACGCCCAAGGCGTTCAAGTTTTTCCCGTGAGTTATATTCTGAAAAGTTTAGGCTTATTGTTAGGCTTAGCTTAGGCTTAGCTTAAGCTTAGCTTAGGCTTGGCTTAGGCTTAGCTTAGGCTTAGCTTAGGCTTAGCTTAGGCTTAGCTTAGGCTTAGCTTAGGCTTAGCTTAGGCTTAGCTTAGGCTTAGCTTAGGCTTAGCTTAGGCTTAGCTTAGGCTTAGCTTAGGCTTAGCTTAGGCTTAGCTTAGGCTTAGCTTAGGCTTAGCTTAGGCTTAGCTTAGGCTTAGCTTAGGCTTAGCTTAGGCTTAGCTTAGGCTTAGCTTAGGCTTAGCTTAGGCTTAGCTTAGGCTTAGCTTAGGCTTAGCTTAGGCTTAGCTTAGCTTAGCTTAGGCTTAGCTTAGGCTTAGCTTAGGCTTAGCTTAGCTTAGCTTAGCTTAGGCTTAGCTTAGGCTTAGCTAGGCTTAGCTTAGGCTTAGCTTAGGCTTAGCTTAGGCTTAGCTTAGGCTTAGCTTAGGCTTAGCTTAGGCTTAGCTTAGGCTTAGCTTAGGCCTAGCTTAGGCTTAGCTTAGGCTTAGCTTAGGCTTAGCTTAGGCTTAGCTTAGGCTTGGCTTAGGCTTAGCTTAGGCTTAGCTTAGGCTTAGCTTAGGCTTAGCTTAGGCTTAGCTTAGGCTTAGCTTAGGTTAGCTTAGGCTTAGCTTAGGCTTAGCTTAGGCTTAGCTTAGGCTTAGCTTAGGCTTAGCTTAGGCTTAGCTTAGGCTTAGCTTGGGCTTAGCTTAGGCTTAGCTTAGGCTTAGCTTAGGCTTAGCTTAGGCTTAGCTTAGGCTTAGCTTAGGCTTAGCTTAGGCTTAGCTTAGGCTTAGCTAGGCTTAGCTTAGGCTTAGCTTAGGCTTAGCTTAGGCTTAGCTTAGGCTTAGCTTAGGCTTAGCTTAGGCTTAGCTTAGGCTTAGCTTAGGCTTAGCTTAGGCTTAGCTTAGGCTTAGCTTAGGGCTTAGCTTATGCTTAGCTTAGGCTTAGCTTAGGCTTAGCTTAGGCTTAGCTTAGGCTTAGCTTAGGCTTAGCTTAGGCTTAGCTTAGGCTTAGCTTAGGCTTAGCTTAGGCTTAGCTTAGGCTTAGCTTAGGCTTAGCTTAGGCTTAGCTTAGGCTTAGCTTAGGCTTAGCTTAGGCTTAGCTTAGGCTTAGCTTATGCTTAGCTTAGGCTTAGCTTAAGCTTAGCTTAGGCTTGGCTTAGGCTTAGCTTAGGCTTACCCAAAAATCGAGCAACACTGCCGTTTTCAGGAAGGACCACAAGATGGCCCTCCTTCAACTCGACGACGTCGAGCAGGCCATCGACGCCCTGATCGTCATGCACAATTACAAACTGGCCGAGAATGCTCACCTCCGGGTCTCCTTCTCCAAGTCTGGGATCTAATTCTCCTTCCCCCGGATTTCCTTCTCCTTTTTTCAGCTTTACCCCTTTTCGTCCCCTTCTTTCACAGCCATTAAAGGTGCCCTAAAGTATAAGATATAGCATGTTTCTTAAAGGTATCGCTTTCACACGTTGCCGTACCTTTCAACTTATTTCTAACCACCAAAAAAAAACATCGAACTAGTCGTCTTCAAGGTCTTTCTGACCTTTGAATTCCCTGTGTTTGGGTTCCTGAACCCGTTAGTCCACCCTCCCTCTACCCCGCCCAATAATGATCAGCTTAGCGTTCCCTATTTTGCGCTTGGCTCTACCGTACTCCAAGAATCTACATATCGGACCACTGTAAAAAGTTCCGGAAGGCTGTCTCGGTCTGTCTGTGTTTCCGAGTCTATCTGACTGTCCGATTTTGCGCTGTTGTTCTTCTACTTTTAGCTGTATTCAATTTCCCGGCCGTGTAGCTTTACGTTTCGTTAATTCGGTCCTTGAGACTGGCTTTTTGGGTTCCTAAAAGTCCGTTTTAGGCTGAGAAATGTTTTTCCTGTCCCTATTTTCCCCGCATTTTAAAGGGACATGCAAGGCTGAACTATGGTTTTTTATACTGAAATTTCCTTCTGAATTTTGCCGCTGCCCGCTACGCGCACGTCGACGTTTTCAGGCGTAACCGATTACGTCATATAAAGACGGGCGCACGCGTTACGTGTCGCGGTGCGGCGAAAAACCCATGGTGAATTTATAGCCAGCGAAACATAGCCATACCTTGCCCGTTCCTTTAAATAAGGTCGAAATGAGCCGAAAAAGGAACCCAGAGAGCCGTGCTCCCCCCAAACCACTTCACTCCCCCGATTCTCCTAGGTCTATTATTCCTATTAGTCATAATATTTTCGTGCATCTTCTTACTTTTTTACTGTATCTTTACGATGTTCCGTGGATAGTATTTTTCGTTGGTTTCCGTAAAGGGGATGGCCCGAATTCCGGGCCAATCCGCCCGCTTCCGCAACATTTCCGGCCCGCCCCGCGTGCGCATAAAAAAGTCCGATGTTTGCCCCGTCCACCGATCCCCCGATCCTGTGCATTTTTGCCCCCACCGTGAAGCCGAGTCTGAAAATTGGGCATTTTAAAGGGGTCGTGAAGGCTGGAATCTATAAGCAAAATTTCTTGGGGTTGAAAAGCCGTTCGGAAACGTCGGAATGTCAAAAAATCCGCTAAAAATCGCTAAAAATAGCTAAATTTGGATTGAGCTAGTCCAAATATTCTTTTTTCCTGATAGATTCCACCTTCATAAGTCCTTTAAAAACCCGATTTACCCATCAAAAAGTCTGGTCGCCGTAAATTATTCCCCTTCCTAAAATTCGCCCGTAATTTGGTGCATGCTAAAAGTATCCCAAATCTTAAGGTATCCCCCTGATTTTTATTTTTCTCCATAAAATCACACACACCGCAGAGAGTATAGCCCCCCTTTCTTGTTCCCTTTTTTATTCTTTTTTGGAGTGAATTCGTTTATTATCCACCGGATTCTGTGATAAAAAATGATTGGCAAACGAGGAGAATACACGAAAGATATAAATACACAAAACCACAGAAGAAAAACCTTATTTAACACCTAAAATCACAAAAAAAAAACATTTTTCAAGCTCAGGAACACGTTATAAATGCTTGAAATATGTATAAAATAGAACCAATTTTGGAAATTGCTCAATAGTTCAGGAGACTGTAAAAAAGCGCGTAACTTTTTTGGCTGAAAAAGATCCAAAATCGATGTTCCTATTAATGCTTAACTTTACACAAATACCCTGGGAGTCGCAGTGACCATAGCAAGTACGGTGGAAACGTACGCAGCCGAGAATAGGAATAAAAACAACCGATCCAGCGTCATGGCAATGTACTTGTAGTCGGCTTGGCACTCCTCTTCCAGCTCGTCCTCCACCAGTTTTTCCTGAAAACGATCGATAAACCAATGTTGGTGCCTGATTGCGGCGATGCACTAATGATGCCTAGATAAACTACACAGAAAACATTCCAAGAAACATATTTTGAGGCAAAATTACGCTACGTAACACTCAAAAAACTGAGCGAAAGCTGACCGGGAAAGTACTGGTAAAAGAGTATAAAAAAATCATTGAAAATGCTAACATCTTCGAAAAAGCGCAAAATTCTAACCTAGCAGAACTATTTTCTGGAGTAATCCTCGACTCTATTAAATTCAGAAACCTTAAAGTCATGCAGTAACGAAATAACTTCTCGCAGCTCCTGCCTCAGCGGTGTATTCTCATATGCCAACGCCATCAACCGAGGTTGATGCGACATCGTCGAAGCTAAAGATCAGACGCTCCCAAAAGAGAATTCCAAAAACAACTTACATCTCCTCGACTCCGAGCTATTACGCACGGTTTCCTGCCAATCGTACGTCTCTTCAGGGACCGCAAGGAGGGGCGCCTTGGTCATGGAAAACTAAAAAACTATTTAAGTCTTTTAGATATAGCACCTCTCCACTCAAAAAGCTTCCTCCCGGCTCGACCTCTTCAGGCTGGCGTTTCGTGTATCGGCGTAGCTTTGCGAATTTTCTCCCCGGTCGCGTCATCAGGAGAAGCCAGGGTAGCCACTCGAGGAAGAGGGCTCGCATCTGAAACGGTACTATGAGAATTATAGCGAGCATTAACTCACCGTTTTGCTCAACTTATGCGTCCTTGGATTCCGAAAATGCACGTTGATCACGAGCACCGTGCATATCGTCGATAGTCCTAACAGCAGCAGTGAAGTAGAGAAAAATGCCACTGAATCCAGGATATTGTACTTTTTTTCTTTTCTCACCTATTACAGGGATCGATTCAGAAGATGGTGGTATAATCTCGGAGACCATGCCCAGGAAAACCAGTACCGCCAGGAGATTGGTGATTTCTAGAATATATTTTTTTAGTAAAGGTCAGCCTGAAAGGAAACTCTAGATAACTTACGTAACGTCAACTTTTCCCCACATTCCGTTGGCAGCGTAAAGCCCAAAACGTTCGATAGAGAGATCAGCACCGACGGGACTACCCAATTTAGGCCGTAATAGAGAGTTCTGAAATCGATTCATCATGTTAGGATTACCTTCATTACGCCTAGCTTACCTTCGTTTAATGTGCATCCTAAAATACAGTTCGACATATTTCTCGCCGTGGAACTCATTGGCAACTCGTTCGGCGGGGGTCGCTGAAAATATACCTCTAGAATTCCACGTGGTATACCAGTAAGCCTTTATAACTATAGAATTAATACAGCTACAACCTCTATATTATTACCTATCAACTCCCATTCCCCGTTCGGCACGTAATATCGCAGATCCATTTGGTTCTTTTCGGACAGTCCGCTATTATCAATCCGCAAATCGACTTGGTTTCCGGTATACGTCCAAGAACCAAACTTAAAATCGAATTCTGCAGAAAAAAATGAGCTGCTTGCCTTTAGATAGCAGACCTGGTCGTCAAATGGGAAGTACGTCAGGTCAAAGGTGCAACTAGAAATCGCGAAATCTGAAGCTAGAAAAGGCCCACCTCATTCTGACGATGCTTGGCGGAGCCATTAGGACCTCACCGGTATGCCGAACGGCCATATTTACGGGGAAACTTGCGTCGAAATGCTCGTCGGCGCTTAAATGAACTTTTCGGAACTGGGATCGTACTTCCATTCAAAGGTATCGTCGAGGTTCTGAAATAGAGAACGATCTAGAGACGACTCACGTGTTGAACAACAGCACATCCGGCTTCCAAAGTGACCCCGATGGGACTTGTAACGTCGTAATATTCCCGTATTCGATCGGATCCCATCGCATTTTGTAGTCGTGCCAAGTCTGAAGGTTTTGAAGTTGCAGATCCGTACCCAATGTATAACTACGAATGATTCTGAGCACGATTAAAAAGCCTAGTGAGGCCCGACCATTTGTGTCCAGATAACCAGCGTGACCACTTGATTTTTCTCGTCAACATCAACGAGCTGCTGGAGGAGGATACGAATCTGGCAGTCGACGGCTTCACGGTGGTTGGAAACTGGTCGTTCGACAGGGTCATGGCTGGAAGGAAAATTATATGTTGGGGCGGTTGATGCTTAGGCTTGCATTCACGCCAGTCGAGCCTAGGCTTTAGGTAGCCATCCGCACGAGGGTCGGCACTTACCCGACTTTCAGGTCCTGAATCAGGCGATATTCGTGGTCGGACGCTGATAGGTATTGGATACATAGTGCCCAGCAGAAAAATGGGCGCAGCATTTAGCCATTCACCGGATCGTCATCTCACACCTAGTCTGGAAAAGAACATTTCCTAGAAAAAATTTTTATAATATCTTCGAAAAAGATGGATATAGTTAAGTTAGCTTTTTTCCCACAGGACTAAGTGGGTTTCGGGTAATTTCCGGTAGCTTTGCGGGTAGATTTTGATTTCCCGGTCGATCACGACCACGGCGAAATTTTACGCGGATATCTAGAAAAAAATTCAGGCGATTCGGCATTGATTGGATTTATTGATTCCAGTGATACAATTTGCAAGGTTTTTCACAGAAAAATTAGACGCGGAAGCGGAATATTCCAACAATTACGGCTTTCCGGTTTTTCTGAAAGCATTACAATTCTCAGCAGGATCGATTATTCAAAAGCCCTTGGGAGAAGGGGAAATCAACGATCTGCTCTTTTTTGTCAGAAACGCTTATGAGAGCAAACTGAATCCGATTCAATGAAGTAATTTAAGAGCGGGTACATGAAATGACATGGACCGTGTCCGCCGCAATGGACGGCCAAACAGTGGCCACACAGGTCGATATCATCCCCCCGACCAGCATGGCTACACCGTGTCCAGCACAGAAAGAATCCGACCGGCGCCGGATGAGCAAACGTTGCAAGAGAAGCCGGGGGGCCGATGCATGCCAACCGGGTGGACAACGATATGAGTGTGTGTCTTTCTATCTCTTGGTACTAATCACTCTCTTGACCTCGCTGACCACTTGGAAAAAAGTATTTTCGAGAAGCAAGTACGGCTAGATTTTGAGAGACGTCCGGATGTAACTTTTTATTCTGATAAAGAACTCCTCCCAATTTTTTGTAAGAATTATTTCGTGCATGAAATTCATTTATTAAGCCATCCACCAAACTTGGCACACCGCAATAAATATCACAAGGGAATTGAGGAGATTTTTCATGGTCGCCGAGCACTCCAAGCGTGGCGTCAGCTGGCCGCCGTCTTTCCACCGGGACCCGACGTAGACGAGGCGACAGCTAAAAAGAAAGGATTTTTCTGATACTAATACCATGCTAACTCTATATCGACTATGAATAATATTTGAAGAAGGAAGGAACTATTTCGGTTAGAGCTTACAATTTTACCTTTACGTACATTTTTTATTAACATTTGAGTTTCCGTACGGGACCAAGGCTTCTAGTGCAGAATTTTTCACTGGGCCCGAAAACGTTTTCAAAAACTGCGGAACAATCAGATGAAAAAAGTAATGAAGCTTTTCAGGACCGAAAAGGCAAAAATTTGCTGAGATTAGACCATTTTTGGCCTAGCTCTCACTTATCTTCATAACTTTTTGAATCTGATCGTTTCGCCAATTTTGAAAACAGCTTCGAAATCAGCTCAAAATTCTACACAAGGTAGGCTTTTGTGCCATACGGAAACACGGATGTCAATAAAAAACGTTATTCTTTTGTTTTGGTCTTTTCCTTGTTAGATAGTAGAGGTCTTAAATCTAGTGTTAGACGGGAGGCCGGTTGACGTAAGGCATTAATCAAAAATAAATAACTCTATTACTTCCAAATACCCACCCTTGCCGCACATTTGGCGAGGGCTTCGCCGTGGCGGTGATTCGTGGCCGTCCCTTCCGCTTTTTCGCCGGCTTGCCCACGCTTGTGATATGGGTGGTGGTGATGTCCGACGACAGCGTAGTCCCCGGAATTTGTGACGTCACTGTTGTTGTCACGTCAAGGTCGATTTTCACACCTAAAGGCTCGGTTCGTATAAAAACCTTTGCTCACGATTGTCATCGTCTGAAGGGACGTCGCCCAATCCTTGGTTGGGTTGATGCGTGATTGGTGGGGTAGCGGTTGTCTGAAATCATTTTATTAATTTTTATTAATTATTTGAGGCTCTTGGAATTGTCGAATAATTTTGAAAAAAAAAAGAATTCTAAAAAAATAAACTTTTTGGACTTACTAGAAGCTTCTTCTTCGGTTTCAATGCCGGCGCGGGGACCACCAGGTCCAAATCGTGCGGATCACAAGTGGTTTGATCTTAAGCGTCGTGTTTAAAAAATTGAAGTATAGAACATAATATGGTGTTAATAACATTTCTCTATTAAGGCGCAAAAACGTACCTGGCGCCACAAAGCAACAGCATACCGAATGCCCTCTATGCTCATAGCATCTATCGCCGTCTTTTTCGGAATGGATCAACAGACAGTAGCGGTACTGCTCATCATTCAAATGCCTACAAAATTATTAATTTTATTGGGAAACCCTACGCACCTATAGACGCACACTTGCTCGCCCTCCTCGAAACCATCTTCGTATTCTTTTTCTATCGAGACGTAGGGCTCTGGGTCGGAGGTACGGGGCCCTTAAAACATCATTAAATCTCGAATAAATAATAAATTTTCGCCTGACCAACTCTCTTAAAAAAATTCAAACCTGGTCCTCCACTCCGCAACAGTACTATTTCCTTCTTTGTCGTGGCCCCATCGCCTGTTTCTGAGGGTACGTCTTCGTACTCGATGACGTCCATCCCTTTTAGATAGGTATCTAAAAATTCGGATGTTAGGTGCAAGCTCGCAAATTAAAGCCCACCCTCATCATCTCCAAAAGAAAATTCGACAGCTTTAATTTGATCCTCGTACTCGTCACTCGATTGGGCGGCCCTTAAAATCATAAAATTAAAATTCTTGCCGTATTCATACCGTAATTTCCGATTTGATTTCCTTGGTTTTGATTTTCCCTGACGATCCGGGGTAATCTAAAAAGAAAAAATACAACTACGTATAATTGACTACGAAACAGCTGAGTTTGTAATTTTAGACCTACCATTAAATCGTCCTCATCAACCTCGTACTCCTCAATATACTCGCCCTCTTCTTCTTCCTCTTGGTTTGAGGCTCCTTTTGGCGGAGCACGGCCTATAAATTCATAACTTTTCGGTCAAGCGCCCTTACCATCAACTTTCGCAGGTCTTCCTTCAAATTCGGATTTTCTACCATAGCGAGAATGTATTAAACATCCAATGGCTCCAGCTCCACACTGTTCTTGTCCACATCGAAGTGGTGGAGCTGCGATGGAAGCTGAAAAAGGCCCTGTTTTCTTACGCTTCGACTTACGTAGCACATCTCGACCGGAAGTGACCAGTCGATTTAGCGTAGAGTGGTAGAGGGCACAGCAAAACCTGAAAGAAGCATGATTTTGGCTCACGGTATATTGACCTACTTTACTGTTGGTTTGGCGATCTGCTTCAGTTTGATATTGTGGGCCGCAATTATGTATTTTAAAAAATTGGTGTTCAAGGCGCGGAGATGGAGGACTGAACATCGAGGTACGGCTCCGCAGAGATCTTCGAATAAGCTCTAAAAATACGATACCAGAGTAAGCTTGAAGTTACCTGAGAATTGATATCGTCTTCGTATTCCTCGCTTTCCTTCAGAAGGACCCCGTTATCGACGCATTCGTGGACTTCGATCTGGAAAAAGGTAGGGACTGGACTTCCAGAAATTTGGAAAGTGGAAACCTCCGGAAATTTTAAGCTACCTTTTCACTTGGAACTGCAGGATCCTTGGTTTCAAATTCAAAATAGCCACACGCTGTCGCCGATGAGGGGCATTCGGACGTTCGAGAAGTTGCATTTTGCGGTCCCGCTCGACAGAAAAGCTAGAAATCTTAGTTTACATTCCATTTCAAAAAATTCTTTTGTTATATTCTAAGCTGATTTAATAAGGATTTATAGATTAACGGTCAAAAAATTTTACCTTAACGTTATAAGGCGCTAGCGGCAGCTCCTCTTTCATGGCTTGGCCGAAATTGGAAAAATACAGCAGGCAGACCCATGCCACCCAACGGCACATTACATCCCGGGAGCTGGAAAAGGCATGGAAATTTAATAGCTTAAAAATATGAAAAGTATGGTAAATAAATATAGCACAGAAATTAAGTTTAAACCAGAGAAAAACAAAACAAGGAATTCAGAAAAGTCAGGTAAGTCGGCTAAGTCTGATACAGAAAACCATTCCTAGATAATAATGGCCAAAAAATGCTAAGTCATGGGTTGTTCTGGGCTTAGGCTCAGGCCTAGGCTTCGCTTAGGATATGCTTGGATTTAAGGTCAGGCTCGGAAATATCTAACTTCCAGTTTAACAAGCAAATACTAAATCAATCCACTAGCGAGACAATTTGTATGATTGCGGCCTGGGGCCCAATAGATCATCGAGACGAATGAAAACGGATGGACGGCATTTCTTTTGAGTCTCCTCCTCGGGGCCCTTGCAAGACCCGGGGAATGTCCGACGAACAACTGTCTCTCTTTGGTCTAGATCCCTCCCCGTCTCTCCATCTCTCGCCCCTTGTCCATCCACACATATTACACACAACGGATGACCACCGAGGGTCCCCCCAAAGACGGTGAGATTGGTGGACAAGAGTAGTACACATTCACACCCTGGATGGATGCACTTGGGGGTGGGGTCAGGTTGCTTTGGGGATTTTGATTGAGAGGAAACATAGGGTTTCTTGTAGGTATCGATTAAGCTAAAGATTTATCGACAGCTGGTGATTTCTCAAGAGTTGCTGTCCAGCCCGACATCCAATATCCGAAATTTCTGGCTGAAAAGCTCGAATTTCAATAATAGTTGTTATTTAAGTAATTTAAGTTCAATGTAATTTTTGATACCTTTTTAGTATAGGTATCTACGAAAAGTAGTCTTTAAAAAGCAATATTATGTGAACTCCATACCGTTTTGAAGATAATTTGTAAGGCCAGGGGTGTTGAAACTCCGACAATATGAACTTTCGATATTATTAATTTTCGCATTCTGATAGCAAGATAGAACTAGCCCAAAAAACAGTTAGATGAAACCACGAAAGATCCGCACGTAATTTTCAAAATTCCGATACTTTAAAGCGTTTTCTATAAATGAAAGGCAATACAAAGCCGTCGCCAGTTTCATGGAGATCTTAAATTTTTAAGATGCTGGGTTTTTAATGAAAAGATAAATCCTTTTACGATATTTTATAAACAGTTTAAACCAAATTAGCCCAGAAATTAAAGTACGAATAAATGATCCAGACCTCCGACAACCCTGAAACAAAGGTGAGAAAGCAATTCGACGGCGGTGAATTGGTGTGGCCGGGTTGCGGCATGCCAGGGGCCGCCGCTCCGAGACGGCCGTGGTGAGTGTAACGAATAGCGGGACCTTGGAAGACGGACAGATACACACACGTAGGTCCCGCTTTTGGGGAGAGAGACTCTTTATTTGAAGATCAGTTGACGCGTTTTTTGGTCTCTGACTCGTATGCAAATCAAACAAGTGCCGCGAGATACCAGAGCTAGCATCTAGAAAAAACTGGGCTTTAGGGTGAGAGTAGGTGGGATATGCCACAAACTGCTCAATTTTGAAGCCATAAATTTTTAGGTTAACCTGCCGGTAGTTTTAGGACGTTTGAAGCCGTCGCGGTCGAGTCGTTGCCTATACACGATGGAAGGAGATCAGATACCGTGTGCGCTGATTTTTCTACTGTATTTTTTTTTAAGGGCTAGAGTTTATTTTACCTCCTCCCAGCCGGAAGTTCCCGACATTTTTCGACATTTCCGCCTATTTGTCGGTATTTTGTCTACCCCATTCGATGGAAAATCAAAAATATACAAAGAGTTTTTACAGCCCAAAATAACGTCATATAAAAAAGTTATACCGAAAAACTTTTAGGAACTTCCGGCTGGGGGGGGGGATGGGCAAGTAAAGTGTTCCCTTTTTCAGGCACTGGCAAGGTATCACTATGAACTTTTCTTTTTTATCAGCATGCCGATTTTCAAATCGTCACGGCGATCTGGGAGCTTTTAACGTGTCTTAAAGGGATGCCGAAGGCATAGTCAATCGGTTACGCGCGGAAAAGAAAATGTCTCTGCGCCTCTCCCCTGAGCGCGCTCTCTCCCCTGTTGGCTACTTGCCAATTTGTTGATGAGGGGGGATCGACACATGCCGTCGGCAGCCCTTTAATCGATTGCACAATGGGAAAACGTTTGTTCGCTCGATTTACTAGGGATTTTGCCACCCGCCTGACAAGTGAAGTACGATCAATCCGAACGCAACCGCGGGACGGTTCTCCTCCTCCTCCCCCAGACAAGTATAATACTGTGATGACCGGAGCAGCATGTGAGCCCTAACTGCCTCCGACTCCCCAGAACTGCACCTCAAGACGAGGCATGTGAAGTGTCGAAAAAGGGCCCTGTGTCATGGGCCTTTGTTGTCCGCCCTGCCCAGACCATATGTTCCTCGCCGACCCTGAAGCTGAAAGCCACCCGCTGGCCGGTGTGGCCACTCGCAGCCACACCACTATACGACCAGCCGGGTGGCTTCTGCTCTGCTACAACTCACGTAGCAATACAACATTAGTTTGAACGTACAAATTTCGTTTAGTGTTTCCAAAATAGGTCGTTTCGGCCGGTACGAAAGTTGGATGGTTCGGTTCTTGGAATTCTTGTAAAATCCTAGGACGCACCATGAAGCTTTTGAAGCTTTAAAGCGGCTCTACCTCGTCAGATACCCATGATAACGTTAAATTTCATGAGGTCAAGATTACAAATTATTTTAATAATTGAAAAATATCAAACAAAATGTATTATTAGAAAAATCTGTTTTGCTAAAGGCTTCTACCTGCTTTTCAAAATTCCGAGCGCTGCAATCTTTACAAATCATTTGACATGGAAAAGTCCAAAATCCCTTTCCCCATTTCCGGCTTTCCCTTGTACCCAATGCTATTTTTCTCAACTATCACCAGTTTTTGTGTGCTAATTCTATTTGTTGTCTAATGTGTCATTTCGAAACCTTGACTCATTTCTGGTTGATTGCCAATCGAATTCTCCCCCCCATTTCGATTTCCCAAAAAAGCTCCCCACCAAAACCCTCCAAATTCCGCGCATGTTTACGGGGCGCTCGCGTGCTCCGCCACCGATCACCGCCCTTTTTGCACTTAATTTGACGATGCTCTCGATCACCTGCTGCCTCGAGATCCCCCTTATCAACAAATTGTGTGGCCCGTTTACAGGAACATTTCGGAAATGGCGATTCGGATACTCGGCGCGCTGGTGGTATTTGTGTCTACCGCACTGGCATTGAACATTGATGGAAAGGCAAGCTTTTTAAAGATTTAGTCACTTTCTAATCTTCCTTTTACCTCTAATTTTTAGGTAACCTGCCCGCCTGGCTTCAAAGTACACAAAACAGACGTCACGCTGCATAAAGTGTCCAGCCCTAAAGGTATGGTCAGATTTTGAACGTTTTCTGATGTTTCTTTTTGTATTGTAGTTAAGCTGAGTTCCAGATATCCTCTACCAACACTCCACCTCCAACAACAACGAATTTTGCATCAGCACTCAGCCGATCGACGTCAAGCGCGGCGAGCGATTGGTTTTGAATATTGACTACACGTGTCGACATCTTCTAAAGGTTTGTGACAATTTTATTAAATTTTACGTTGAAGGATAGGAAAAGGAGAATGTAGCAAGATACCTTATAGGCGACGGAGTATGGTTTTGCTAGAAATTTCATTAATTTCTTAAAAAAAGGAGTTTCCAAAAGCTTTCTTAACCTTTCTAAGGGCGATTAAAATATGTATTAACAACTACAAGATCTGTTTTCATTCGTTTTTAGGTGTGCTCATACGCCGATTCGGCCAAAGTCCCGATCCTGCTAAAATCAGAGCCGTTCACGCCCCGCTTCGCGGCCAGCGACGACAAGAAGATCCGATGCGGTCGCATGCGGTTCGATCCTGATGAAATCGAAAACAAACACTTTATCTTTGTGCACCCGTAATTTTATCAAACCTTTTTCTTTCCAAGATTTGCCTAAAAAGTATTTATATTTTTGGTCTTGAGTATCGATCGGAAGTAATCCTCAAAGCTACCCATTACTATTTATAATATTTTACGCCATTATTATCTTACTTGCCATATTGCTATTTTGCCACCATTTCCATTGTGATAGTCTCCTTGCCAGATTCGGCGCCACAACCCCGTGAGTTCTTTCAGTCTTGCCTTTTTTTTGCTCAATTGATTCTATCTGTTTTTGCTTTATCGACACCTTCTCTGTAAATAAATTCGATACATGTCGTGCCAATCACTACAGAGCCTTTTAAATCGTAAAAAGGTAGCTTAGGCTGAAACCTAACATTTTATGATATAATCTAACTATATTCTATTCCACCGACCATCTACCGACTTAATTTTTCTTGATAGACGATATTCCATTGTTTGCGAGCATCGGAATGCTGGGAATCGCGTTTTTTGCAACGCGAGGACTCGGCTAGCAGGGTCCAATCTCGTCGCAAAAACGGGCAGCATCAAGGCTCACTTTGTTGACTCTGCACCCAGTCCGCCTTGCAACATCTATCCGGATCATTAACACGCAAAAAGGGCAAATAGGTTTCAGCGAGCAAAGATTGGAACCTAACGGACTAATGCAAACAATTTGGGGTACAAGCCGTGTTCTGCAACCTCTAACAAAATTGGGCCAAGCTGGGTCTGTTCCAAGGTTTTGGGCGCCATTTAATAAAGGCAAAAAAGTGGGCAAATGGGCACCAAAAATGAAAAAAACGAAAAGCGACAAGACAACTTCGGAAAAATCGTCCTGAAAGCCCCGCATGTCACTGGAAAAGTGGATATTTTTCAATGCTTAGAAGCTTTTCTTATTCCAATTGCGTAATCGTATCTTTCAGGATTGATTAGAGCAATAGCGCAAGCGGTTACCTGCGTGTGTTACTTGGATTGCTGGAACTTTGCCAGAATTTGCACTCCAAAAAGGCCCTTCCTGCCTAAAACGTAGCCTGAGGGCACGCGATATCACAGCTGCGCGCCTGGTATCCTTTCATTAGTTGCTTGTTTGCTGATAAGGGCTCTTTCACGCAACATCTACCGAATCTGGCAAAATTCAAAAATTGTTACGTGGATTTCTGACTGTGCTATCCCTTTAAAGTGTATTCTGTATCAACTATAATAAAACAGTAGTGGTGTCCGTCCGTCCGTCCGTCCGTCCGTCCGTCGTGTCCCGGATTCAACTCGAAGGGGAAAGGAGCTAGAGCTTAGGTCTTTTCGGATTCGGATAGAGCGTGGTCAGAAACCCCCTAACTGATAAAAAATTAAGAAAAAGTTTTAGTTTAAATTATTAAATTTAACTTTGAAAGTCTTTTCCTTAGAAAAGCAGTGGGGGACGGAGGTTGGGGTGATTTCGGACATAGTGAGCCAGGTCGCGCGCGTTTCGGCGAGGAGGAGGGAGCGCAAGGGGGTAGCCCGAAGTCGCTGTAAGCGGCTGGTGCTAGAATAGAATTTTTTTAAAGGAACCTGTACTTTAACGGAATTCCCACGCTTACGGTTGTTTTTCGGTAGTTCCCCAAGCCATTTCGTCAACGCCACAGCGTGCAGCCGCAGACGGCCACTGATGATGCTGATGGTCAGGCTTGCGCCCGGCCACTTCACGGACGTGTGGCCAAGTGATGGGCCCCAGATCTCACTATCCTCATTCTCTGCGCCCCCCCCCCCCCCCCCTATTTGCGGAACAGTTTTCGAGGCGCTGTGCGCGGCTGTGGCGCCGCGGCTTGAGCAGGGCGCGCGGAAACAATGCGGAAGACGGAAAGACCCTCGAGGGCGGATGGGCCAGGGGGAGACACATTCCCCTAAGGGGCTCTGCTGAACTGCCCCCGCCCGGATATCCCCGTTGGCACAATGGACACACCGCAATGCACATCAACAACTAGACCCTGAAAAACAACGGGCGGAGATCTAACCCCGGGCGGGGAGTAGATGGTTCTTTTTTCGGTGATGGTTTTTGAAGTACTTTTCAAATCATCGAACTCGGGATTTTGATTGAAATTCCGCTTAGAAGGGACCTTGCTTCTCTAGTCCGGTATCTTCTCCCCGTACAGAAACTGCAAGAAAAAAATCGTACATAAGCGGTTTTGAGATCGATCGAATGTTTTTTAAAAGCGAAAACAAGAGCATACAGCGTAATTTGCGTTTTTCGATAACCTAACATCCAAAAGGCACCCAAAAGTCTCCCCACCTTAAAGCAATATTAAAAAGAAAACTCTTGCCGGGAAAACAACTTATCTATTATATTGATACAGTTCTACCACTTATACTAATAAAAAACAGTTTTTTATACCAAATTTAAACCCAAAAAGTTTCTGCGAGATTTCCTTAAACCGATCCCCGATGTATGTTCATCACACCATTACCCTTCTCTTCGCAACATTTGGTCATATTTGCATTCCAGATGCACCATTTACCCCACGCACACACTCACAAATCATACCCTCCGCCAAAAACCTGTCAAATCATCCAGTTGATGGTGCTGATGTCTTACAAGTGTCCCCCTCCCGTGCAACAAGTGCACCCTGACCTTACACACAAAAAACTGCAGCAGGGGGTGTCAATATGCCTTTGCCACCTTGGTTGTTCCATTGCTGTTTGGCTGACAATGGCAAGCGGACAGACAGATGCACAGACAGACATACAGTAGCGGGGAAGCGGCTTCAACACGGCAGCACAATTCCGCTTTGCCGTCTTTACACGCTAAGCCATTCAGGGTCCGAGGCCGGGTGGCGACTGTTTGAAAATGTGATAATGGGGTGGCGTGGCCACGCACGCGTCACCGTCCCCGCGCCCGCCGCCGGCCGCGGCGATGATGATGATGATGAGGATGGTGATGCGCCACTTGTGAAATTTTGAGTGACCTCTCGAGATGGCTGGATTGTCCGCAGCAGGGGATATGGCCTGGGAATCTGAAAAACGGGTGCGAGTGGCGGTTTATGGACATGGAAAGGCGGAGAGCGGACAAATGCTAATTTTCGGTATTTTCCCAGAATTTCGGAAAGAAAACTGACGGTTTCAAACGAACTGGAAGGGACAAAATATAGCTCCAAATCTGTGCTTTTTTGCAGGGATGAAAAGTTGATAAAGATTGTTGTCGATCCTCTTTTTTGCCGCATTTTAGGAAAACCGGGTTCTATAAATTATTTGAAAAACGAGTTTGTTAGTAAATAAAATCTCAATTTTATATCGTTTACGAAGTTTTTCGAATGACTTAAAATTAAGATATACCGGACTTTTTTTACATAAAAATAAGATTGGATCATTTTCCTTGATGAATTAATCGAAACGGATTTTCTTCTCGTAAACCATTAAAAACCCACAGGATTTTTTCCCTTTTTGGCTTTCCGTTTCCACCAAATGTGGACTCGTACTTTCAAGTGTTATGTCTGTGCCTAAATATATCGTTCAATGTGTACAAATCGCTCCCAAAAGACCGGTCCCCAAATGTGCGTGATGTTTTCCCGACAACCCATCCGGTCCATCTACCTCACCACGCTTACCAGTAACCCGCCACCAGGGCAGCTGTCAATTTGTCGAAGCTTCGGACGGGGAAAGCCAAGTTGGCACACACGCTTCTCGACGTATTGTTGACCCCGTAATTTGTGTCGACTCATGTCTCCCACACGCATCAGTAGTGTGCCCCAAGCCGGTCCCCCAGATCCCCACGGCGCGGTGAGTCACAGAACCAGAAGTCCCCCGCGCGCTTCATGCCAGACGCCCGAAAGAATGCGCGGCCCAGGGCGCGGGGGTCCTGGGCCGGCGCGCTGCGGCGCGTTTGAGGGTCATTTCGCACGTTGTGAAGCCGGGGGGCTTTTCGTGCGGCTTTGGGCACACGGGGGGGGGTTTCGGACCAATGAGAGCAGAATTTTGCGTCCAGATTGACTACTGGCTGAAGGACTAGTTCATCGAGTCAATCGAGGATTATAAGCGAGAAAGTTTAACTGTTTTTTTTGTAATGAAGTCTCCGCCTTTAGGATGAATTTCCTGTCCAAAAAAAATTAAAATAGGCGATTGCCCAAAAGGATTTGAGTTCGGATATCGTCATCAAGTGATCGTCGGGGATGCTGTTCTGCACGTACGCGAAGGGTCGTGTTACGGCGGGGTATAGACAAAAGCAACGCCGGAACCTTTATAGACGTAGTTTTTACGTAACTTCAAGCTGGGCTTGGAAATGATAAAGCTCCTAATTCACTAAGAATGAGCTTCTGGCCCAGCTTCCTGGTCGACCCCCATCCGTATTGCCTAACATTGGATGCCCCCGGGGAAAAAACGTGGGCCCTTCCCCCGTCACAAATAGTCGTGGAGATTTTTGTTGCACAGACGAGCCAAGGGCGAGAGCCGACGACGAGGGACGAGCAGCCCTCATGTACTCCCCGGATCGCCGCATTTGGGAGGGGGAGAATAGCAAACACACAGCACACACAGCATCATGGCCAGCGGCGGTCCGCAACCAAATTCCGTGACTGCTAAATGGTGCCCCCGGGGATGGGGAAGGGGCAATTCAAACATGGGGCGATCGGGGTGCAGGTACAGGTGATCAGCGACTGGAGGGTCTGCCGGGCACTCATATCATGTAAAACAAGACGCTTGGCAGCCTGGATGGGGTGAAGTGGCGAGGGAGATGATAGCCCTGTAGACAGAGTGCAAGTACACAACACGTGGCTATACCATGTTGGGCTGGATTGGTGAGGTTTGGTGTTGTTTGGTGCTGCGTGCGGGCGAGTTGCGTGTCTGCTTGGATTTCCTGGTTTTATCTGTTATCTGTAACTGCTTCTCACACACGTACTCTGTCTCTCTCGCTCTCTTTCTCACTAGTCTCTCACTCACCGCAACTCCTCCAGACCCGCTGAAAACTGCAAACACACTACCTCATGACTTACGGACTCAAATACTGTTCAAAGGTAAAATATGCAAAAACAGACTAGCTTCACCATCTCCCAACTCCCGTAAAACTTAAAACCCCAGCCCCTCTGCGCCCATGCATCCCGCGCGCTGGCCCAAAACGCGTGCGCCTCATTAGCATCTCCAGCCTGACCCGGCGCCCCCACTCATAATCATAATCCCTGGGCCACGCGGGGGCTATCAATGGGTGAGTGGCCAAATGTGAGCACGGGGTGTGCGCTTGATCTGGGGGCAGCCGTAAGCGCGTTTGCTCACGGGCCCGGGGACGTCATCTTGCACCCCGGCGCCTCCGTATGTGGCCGTTTTGAAACTCTCAGGGTGGCAGATAATGGCGGGGGTAGACAGTGGTGGAGAGGCGAGAGCGAAAGAGAGAGAGAGAGAGAGAGAGAGAGAGAGAGCAAACTGTCGCCATTGTTGCGAAGGGTACACCTGGCCGAGTCATCATCAGCAAAAGAAAGAATGAGGTTTGAAGAGATTCCGAAGCAAAGTAAACGATTCTTTCCAGGGCCTTTCCAGGATTGTAAGCACAAACCATAGCTAAAAAAGCTGCCCCAAAATAATCGAAACCCCTCTAGATTGAGACGTCGAGAAAACGAGAGCTTCCAGGATCCACGTCGAAGCGAGAGACCCAGAGAAGCAGAACAAAGTTCCCGCGCGATCACAGATAATGAGGAGTGTGCATACAATCGCAGAGAAACGCGACAAAAGGGTGCGAGAGAGCAAAAGACCCCGGGCTGGGGGGCCGGGCCGCTTCCGGATGAGTCAGGCGGGGCGGACGCGCGCGGGCCTCCCAACGGAAGGCCCCTTTATAAGCCGGAGGGTCGTCGGACGACGGCAGTGCACAGCGGCACCAACCGTATCCACCCCACCTCGACAGCTAACATGCTTCTCAAGGCCTTTTTCCTCGGCTCCCTGCTGGTGATTGCGGCTTACGCCGAAGAGGAGGTGCGTTTATTTCATTTTTTTTGGCTTACTTGCCTAGTAAAAAGTTTTTGATATTCACCATTTTACTTCTCTATCAGGTTTCTTCATCGTTTTTCATTCAAAAATTTAAAAATTACGAGCATTTTAAGTCTTCTTAGGCGGCCTTCGATTCTGTTTTGAAGAAACCTGAAAAGCTTGAGGTCGAGCTCACTTCTAAACGATTCTATTGAATGTAATGACATTTTAAACGTTTATGACTTGCTGATTTCCTATCGCGCTTGAATTTAAAATGCCCAAAATCAGCAAAATTACCACATTTTGAAGCTGCGCTCTTTATCATTCTCCCTCATTACACATTTTCTACCTAGGAAAAACCCTGAAAAACGAGCGCTAGCTACACTACTCCTTACTTCTCCGCCCAACAACCAAAACTCCCCCACCTCAAAACGGTCCAGTTGATACAGGAAATAGCCAGGGGCAACGAGCGCTGCGCTCGAAAAACACTTGGGGGCCCTCCCCGGCTGTTTTTTTGTTTGTTGTCGATGCCCAGGGAGCGTGTGCGCGCACACAAAAGACCCCTCCTCAAAATGTCGACTGTTTTTCCGTGTTTTCGCCCCGGTCTACAATCCTCTTTTTCCAGGCGACCACCGCCGCCCCGAAGGAGGAGGTCACCTCGCCGGCCGTCGTCCGTGCCAAGAGGCAGTGTGGCTGCTCCGGGTGCTCGTCGTGCGGTCAGCAGCAGACTCAGGTAGAGGATTGTGTTTTTCGCACAGAATCTTTGGTCCAAAGGAACACCGCGTCGCCAAACGCGTTGATACTCTGAACATAACGTTTTTATGATCTCACTTCATTTCCCAATTTTTTCAGTGCGTCCCCGTTTGCGTGCAGCAATGCCAGTCCGCCTGCCAGACCTCTCAGTGCTCCAACCAGTGCCAGAGCAGCTGCCAGCAGCAGTGCGGAGTATGAAAATACCTGTCGGACCCTCACATACGACATTTCCAGGTTGCCATCGCCATCCCTGTCCAGCAGCAGTGCAACCAGTGCCAGAACCAGTGCCAGTCGTCGTGCGGCTCCAACATGATCTGCTTCCAGACTTGCCAGCAGAACTCGTGCCCCCAGTGCTGCCCCCAGCAACAGTGCTGCCCCCAGAATAACTGCCAGCAGCCCCCGCAGGTATGAATCGTTTGATTGTCCATGGGGTAGCATTACCTCCTGAGGTTCCTGAGCCATAAGCCTAGGACTAGGCTTGCTGAGGCCTTGATAACCTTCCCTTCCAGGTCATCGTCCTCCAGCAGCAGCAGCAGAACCAGTGCCAGTCGCCATGCTGCAACTCGTGCCAGTCCGCCTGCCAGAGCCAGTGCTCCACTCCCATCTGCGTCCAGGGATGCCAGTCCTCGTGCAACTCGGTGGGTACCTTAAACCTATTCTAACTCGCTTTCTGAACCCCTCGAAAACCCTGGCCTTTTCAGCAGTGCAGCAACTCCCAGCAGCCAATCGTCATCGTCGTCCCCAACAACGACCAATGGTAAAGTTTAGACTCTTGATTGTGATAACAATTCGACCTCTAGCTCCTCGTCCTGCTCCAACTCGTGCCAGCAGCAGTGCCCCACCCCCGTCTGCGTCCAGACCTGCCAGAACCAGTGCCAGTCTGCCTGCGGATGCCAGAGCAACAACTGCAACCAGCAGCAGCAGCCCATCATCGTCCTCCAGCAGCAGCAGAACCAGTGCCAGAACACCTGCCAGAGCCAGTGCATGAACTCCTGCACCACCACCCAGACTGTCGTAAGTTGATGGGACTTGAGCTCGAAGAGTTATGATCTTTTCTTGTAAACCTCGGAGTTTTCAGCTGCAGTGCCAGCCGGTGTGCGCCCAGACTTGCCAGCAGACCTGCCAGCAAGCCCAGCAGATCGTCATCCCGTGCCAGAGCTCCGGCTCGTCGTGCTCGTGCAACTCTGGCTACTCCCAGTGCGGAGGCTCGTGCTGCCGTATCTAAGGTTGGTGGCTTTTTTCGTGATTTCTCTGGCTTAGGCTTAAACACGAATCATCAGGCTCATCAAACATGCCCCATTTCAGCGTCACCCCGACTAGCCACCCACTTCGCCATCCCCAAAACCCATTCGCCAATCCGAAACAAAACCTCGAGCGTGGGAGTATTGTGCGGCCCCTTACCGAGGCCCATCCCGTCGTGTGTCTGTATATTTATAGCGCCCACCATGTCGTCCATAGGACCCTACCTGGTCTGCCCGGCTATAATAATAAATTATCTATACCAAAGACATTTCTACTGCACATGCAAAAGGATCCTAAGGACGATCCACACCTCGTTACAGAGAACGCATTGCAATTCCAACATCTAGCCCATCAACTAGCCAACACCCATATCAAGAACGGCAAAACCGCAAACGCATAGCTTCTCGCATTCCCCGCTCGCGACAATCGCAGGGCGCACCTAAAAAACCCGCTAAAAACCGCCCCGGAACCGGGAAATTTTTCGGGGAAATTGGCCGACGCCCAAATGCGCATCTGGCGCGCTATTCCGGGGGCAGTGGTCAACATTTTTTGGCTTCCCATGGTTTAACGGGACCTCTTATGTATTTTATAAACTCTTTTCTTTTTCTTTTTACTGATTGCAAAAACTTAGGCAATAAATTTTAGTTATACATTTTTTTAAATGTCGCTTGCTGAATGGCATGGTATATTTTCCAATGGCAAATTGCCAGCCTTTTCCTGCATATTTAGCACCATTGATTAAATGTATTACGTTGCTTTGAAAGAGGAGGTTTCATACCTTTTATTATGGCGTTATAGCAGTGTCTTTTAGTAACACCGGTTTTTACCGGCAAAACCAATCTCGGAATTCCAGCCTTAATTTGGAGATATTTTAAACGATTAAATGCCAAATTGAAGGTTTTTCGACCTTACGATTAGCTATACCTTTCTCTTAATTGTTTTATTTTCCCCGGCTCTCCCCAAAACCATAACGACCTCCACCGCAGACTGCGCGTTTGACCACTATGCCTCAATAGCCCCGCGGCGTTGATTTGTGTGATTAGCGAGGGACCGGAATCAGTTCTCCGCCTCCATCCAGGGCACGGGCTCGCATCTCAAAAAGGTGCATCCGATACCGGACTGGCCGGAGAGAGAGGGGCGATCCCTTGAGTCGATCCGTCGAGTGTTCGCATCGCCCCCACGTTGGCTGCCGTTAGTTGATGATGGTGGTGTGGCATCAAGCGATTTCCGTATATCAGGACACTCTAAGCATGCGACGCGGGGGACGTCATCGCGGAAAATGAGACAATGGGGGCTGAGAAGCGCTTGGTGATAATTGAGTGGATCAGGGACCAATAAAAAATATCCATAATTTGAAGAACCGAAAAACAGGAATTAGCGCTTCTTGAACGTGTTTAAAGCATACGGAAATCCGCAATGTACAAAACACAGTAAATTGCAACCTTGCAAGGTTTTAAGACGCCAAAAAAAAGAATTTGCGGCATGAATTCCTAACCCGAACGGCGTGATTCGCGTGGCTCTAACATGTCGAGTTTTCGACTAATCAAGCCAACACAATCGCTTGTAATTACCGGCTCTTGGCAAAATTTTCAGACATAAGAAAAGTAGTACGGTATGTTAAAGGCTGCAAGATCATCAAATAGCTAAACTAATCGATTACGACATAAAATCTCCGATTCTCCGATTCTGATGGGTTTTGACAAGTGGCAATGAAGCACTGGCAATTTTAGAATTCCATAAACACCTAAGGTATGGCAAAGCCCTTCCTAAGTGTTACCCAACAAACCCATCAGGACATGAAATATTATCAAATTACAAATGTTTGGTCCCCTGCGTGTCGATCAACACTACCCCACCATCCTGCCATCAAACAATAACGTATCAGAAACCCTTCCTGGCCGTTTTTTGCACTTTTCCCCGGCCGTCAATTGGAAAGTGCCGTAAGCGCCTTTCGATCCGGGGCAGTCGGCTGCCGTTCGCAGATCCAATCTGCCCTCATAGCTCTTCGATGGCACCTTTCACTTCGATGCTTGAGCAAATTCCCGAGATGCGCGCGAGATTAACGAGGCACCAGCCGGTAGCGAGCCTTGGGGAAGTTGTTGCTCGGTTTCGGCGTCTTGCTCACTTTTTCTTCAAGAATACTTCGAATTCTAAGTTCTTTTTTAAAGTCTAAGTTCAATTAAAGTCATGCACGTTCTAAAGTTATTTTTATTCTAACCTTCCTTACCGGTTTTTCAGGCCCCGGAGTTTTGTGTTGAGTTCGTTTTTTCTAGGATGCGGTTAGCCGGTCTTCTCTTGCTTCTTCCAAATGTTCTTGCTGTCTACTTCCCATTCGAGTAAGTTAAACTGTATTAATCTCCTACGATACCTTTTCGGCAACGCTACGCAACTGTCAACGGCGAGACTCAACCCATACAGTATGTGAGTATCCGATTTGCATAATTTTGATAGCTGCCTTATAAAAATGACTTCCCATTTGTTTTACGAAGTAATTCCAAGCTCAGGTCCACATCTCCGAACTGCTAGGCAGAAGGGCAATGTCCTCAAAGCTACATCAAATGCCTGATGAAGCGCATTTTACCCCGCAGAGCTTGCCGGTCAACTTTGAAGACAACTATGAGCAGGAGATTAAGGTAAGGATCGATAATTTATGGAAATTAAAAACTCTAGAGGCGTCTGCACAAGAAAAGAAAATCACACAAGAAGCATCGCCGTCATCATCACCACCGTCCTCACCATCGACAGCGAGAAGGACTTGGCGAAGCCCCCGATAATAAGCTGCATATTGTGGAGAATGGGCCGTTGTCGCAGATTATTACTGAGGTTTGGTTAATGCAACAATTTTTGATCTGTATTTCACTCTCTCACTCTATCTCTCTCTCTCTCTCTAACTCTCGTTAATCCAGTCAGTACCATCCGAGCTATAGTTTAATTCTAGGAAAACGGCCAAACCGTTCTCACCCATCGATTTGACTATGAAAAAGCCAAGAAGAAGGACGATGGCATTGATGATATGAAGGTAACTCAAGCGGCAAACTAGGAATTCTAGCAGAAAAATCCTTGGGGAACAAATCTGTTTAGGTGGAGCGTGTGGAACGGCTAAACCTACCCGACTACGTGCAAGAAACGAAAATCATGCACAAGAAGAACATCTCCCCGTCGACGCTGGCGATTCTGCAAAAGTTGAGGTGTGTGTTTCGAGTTTTTTCAGCTGGCTTTTGCTATATTGCCCAGATTTGTATACATTTAGGCTGTAAAATGGATACATTAAAGAGATGAGGACGGCTTGGGGAGGGGGTTCAACAGATGCAACGGCGAGAGAGAGCGCCCAGGGGAGAGGCGCAGAGACATTTGCTTTCCCGCGCGTAATCGATTGACTTATGCCGCCCCTATCCCTTTAAGCACACTAGTTAATAACCGTGATATTTGAAAAGTAACTGAAAGCTAAAAACCATTTTTCAGAGCTTCCGGAGCGCTCCTAAGCCCAGCAGCGGGATGGCCAACGCGTCAGATGCCGTTCGATCGTCGTGGTGCTCCACCAGTCTTTGGAGCCCCGATCCGAAGCGCCATCCCGATTGGCACATCGCAGGGCAGCCAGCTCGCCTACATGTATCCTCAGTATTCCCGGAAATTTGTTTGATCTGCCGAATATCCGCTGCCTCTTCTACTACGTGTAATATCGCCATGGTGCATTAATAAAGTTTTTGCTGATATAGATTTTCAAGCGGAATATAGGCAGGGTTAAAGGTACCGTGCGCCCTCGGTTTGAAAGGTCTACTTTAAGATCTTAGAAAAATTGTGTTTTAGAATGCCGGGTTACGGTATGTGCTAAAATTCGGGCAAAACCGAACCCGAGACGCTCGCCTAGGGCAAGCGCTTTCGACCACTTGGCCATGGGAGGGGGGCGGTGCGGAGGGGGCGAAGGGAAATGTCGGAGGTCTATAGCTGAGTATCTTTACGCGGTTGTAACAGTCGAATAACAAGATATTGAATTCATTCATAACAGTAGCGAATGCTCGTGGGGTATCAGGAGAAGGTTTAGATGGGCAATTTTATGGTTTAGAGACAGCGTAATTCGTTGAAAGCGAATTATCAAGCGCAGATTCGGCATCTTCTGCCAAAAAATCAATTAGTTACCTTTCTCTGTAAAAGTAATTTAACAGGATATTTGCTTTATAAACTACTGCTGAAGTAGCATAATCGAGATTTCGACATCTCGCAACGCTACCCACACACACTTTCCCCCGCGAATCCCGTTCGCCTACGCAAAAACCGCAAAAAAGCAAGCGACATAGTGGTACGCTCAGGGTGCTCCCCTCGAGATCCACTGTAAAGAAGTGGTCCTTCAGGCGCCACTATGTCGCTCCCGCGCTTTTTATGGCAGAAATCAGCTCGGTGGTTTGCACGGCGCGGGATTTCGGTTTCGGCGCCCCCGGGATCAGCCACTGCCACTCTTAAGCAAACACTAGCTGATCATGATGATTTCCAGCTTTCCTAACCATTAACGTATCGCATTGATTTTTCGCGCCTTGAAAATTTTTTTACTTGATTTTCAGGACCTTACTTTAGTGATTAAAGTACGACACTTAAAAAAAAAGTTTTCACCCTAGAAAACTCTCAATTTTGTATAGTTTAATTTTGTATAATTTAGTATCGCCTCATTATAACGCAAAAATTATTTTATTGTCGCTAGAACAGGCAAAATATAGCTAGCTATAGCTGCCGTGTGCATACGATGTTCCTTCATCCGTGTTTCGGTTCGGCTTCTTCACCCCCGGTTCCTTATGTGGCTGGCTAACTAGCTAGGACTATAAAACCTTTGGATCGAATCCACCTTGCCACCTGGCTTTCCTCAATACACCCATTTACCTCTCAAGGTTTTTAGAAAACGGATGTTGCTACTGCTCGGCGTTTTATATATTAGGTAGGTGCACTTGAAGATCTTACGATGCATCGCGAAAAACTACCACTGAGAACTTGCTTATTGACAAAAGCATACTCAAACATTTTTATAGCCCTGAGACTCCTTATTAGGGCGTTATTTACCTTGAAGTCAGCGGGTTAAGCTCTTTAATCGGGACATTTCCTAAATAAATGCAATAAAACTCATAAATATTGATTCTAGGACGGGAATTAATCTTTCTTTTTCTACCGTTTAACTCCTCTGTTTTAGCTACCTATCAGAAGCTGCCTCTACCCTACGTGACGGCGGAGATGACCGGGACCTAATCGCCGTCCAACCCTCATTTATGGAATTCGAAGACCCGGTAGAAGCCTTTTCCCATCCAAACGCATCACCCGTTTTCAGATAGCCCGTCGATTAGGGTTGCTGATGCAGCAAGAAACTAGCACATCAGCCGCTAAAACCACTTCTCAAGCGACGATTTCGCTGGCCCCAAGACCGAGTCCCACTCCTAGGCGCAAAAAGATACGCCACGCCATCGCCTTCCGCACCTATTGGCAACCAAAAATGTCCCAGCCAAGGCCCACGACACCTGAGCCAATGCCGGAATATCCGCTTCCGGTGAAAGATATGGTTCGTTATCAGAGGGATAGTTCAGCCCTTGTGCTTGGGCAGTACCTTGGGTGACTATTGACGCAGGGGCGACGTGGGCCAGCAGGCCCCCTGCGTCGATAGTCACCCAACGTGTTGCGCAAGTAGTCCAAGGCTGAACTATCTCTTTGAGTAAATCTTAATTGGGGTCTGAGCGTAGCAAATTGGCCCTGTTTATAGTTAGTCCCTCAACCCTCGACGTCTACCTCCAGACCTTCATCAACTGCAGAGAAACCGATTTTGGTCGTTGAAAATTGGCAACAGCCTGAAACGACACCAGCTGTTTCGTAAGTCCAAATTAAATTCTTTAAAACGATCAATTTTAGATCACCGACGGCCACTACGGATATTCCAATCCGGATGACCACTCGGCAATTTGCTAGAATTCGGGTAAGTACCAGCTCACAACAGCTGCCACACTTCTACTTCCATGGTATTCGATCGAAAATTTGTCCCATTCAGACCCTCGTCCCCATCGTGCAAACCTACGAAGATGGCCAGCGATTTGATGTGAAAATGCTGCCCTCTTCACTGGGTCAATTTGTCCCATTGGCGCCTCTCGGTGAGCGCTACCGTATTTTACTGCCTTAATTGATTGATTAACAATTTATCCAATGAAATACACCTTTAGTTGGCGACGAGAACAGCCGAAAAAATGCGGTCCCCGTGCTGAAGACGGTAGGAAAGCTTGGAGCTCAAAACAAGATATTTCTAGGTTCTACGGCCGCAACTCATACGCGGACGTCTTGGACTTGCCGATCGCGTCGAATACGTGCCGTATCGGTACGTTGCCCTGGCGTCAAGGGCCAGAACAGAAAAGTGGGTTCATGCCTGAAAAGTGGAAATTTTTGGATCAGTCAAAACCGTTATATGTTGATTATAGTGCCCGCTCGCCGCTACAATATCGACTGCCATAATCAGCAGCTACAAATATTTATGATCTCGTGCTTAATAAATTATTTTTATGAAATTGTGCGTAATACATTTAACCCAACACATAACGTAATTTCTCTATAAATTTCGGGCTTAGGGCTTACTGTAAAATCGCGCAATCAGGAGAGACGAATTGCCACCCTCCCTTTAAAATTTCAAAATGTGATATTTCTGGTCGTTTTACATAAATGGTTTTAAAATCTGGGGTTTCTGGTTGTCGGGTTTTGGCCTGCCGGGATTTTGGCTTTCGGGTTTTTGGCTGTCGAGATTTTGTCTGTTGTGATTTTGGATGTCGGGATTTTTGCTGTCGGTATTTGGACTGTCGGGATTTTGGCTGTCGGGATTTTGGCTGTCGGATTTTTAATGTTGGGATTTTCGCTGACGGGATTTTGGCTGTCGGGATTTTGAATGCCGGGATTTTGAATGTTGGGATTTTCGCTGTCGGGGTTTTGGCTTCGGGATTTGTAACGCCGGAATTTTGGCGTTTTCCCATCTAACCTCAACCCAACCTTGAACTTCTGCACAACCCTCCATAGCCTCACTTTCCCATTTCCCAATATCTAATTGTCCCTCTCTCGCCCTTCTCCCACAAGAAGAATGATGAGATGTGTATTTACGAGGGGAATCAATTGCCTAATTAGGCGATCCAACACGAAGAAAGACAGAGAGGAACCGATCGGCATCTCCGGCTGCCTATTGCGATCGGATGGCCTGGTAGCCCGACGGCAAGAAGGTTGGTAAAAAGTGGCGAGGCTCAGGGGAGGGAGGAGGTTGACGGGCAGCCGGGGGGAAGCTGAGGAAAAAGCCCCATCCTGCTACGGGACAGCTCGACGTTCGCCCTCAGCTCCTGGTTGGCACACGCGCGATCGGCCAGTCGTGTATTCCGGAGGGTTGGGCTGGCAGCTTACCTTTGGTATCATCACTACCTCTGATCGATAATATTTGGCGCTGAGAGGTTCTTAACAAAATATGGTAAGTCTCGCTTTGTTTTTGTAATTTTTTGCTGCATCTTGAGGAAATTTAGGAAGGAATTGAGGTTCTTAGAGGAACCCCTTTTCTACATAGCAACTTTCAAAGTTTTCTACTCATTTTTTTGTCAAGTTCTCGTCTCCAAAACTTGCAAAAACTTCCTCAATTCGTTCCAGATCTTCCTCATCCTTCTCCTTGCCTCACCAGCTCTTGGAGCTCCGCAAGCGGCGTACCAGTAAGCACAAAATATAAGATATCTGAAATTCCTAATAGATTATTTGCTCTTTCTCCCTTCCGGCTCGACTTCAACGGCCATAACTTAGAGGAGTCGCACTTCCATGGCAGCAAGGTACCTTTTTTAATACGCAAAACCATCCAAGATCTGACAAAAAAAAAAAAAACAATTTTCAGAGAGCATCGCCACTCTCTGAAGCCGCCATCGCTTCCGCTAAGGGCCAGCAAGTCCTACTGCTATTGCCGCAAGGGGTAGATTACGTTTGTAAGCCAGATCACCAAAAAGAATAGATGCCCGCTTCCGCCGCCCTGACCGACGCGCTCAAGCAAAAGTTCCCTGAGGCCGAGGAGGTCACGGTAAATCTACGAACTTACCAGAACCCATGATTTGAATGTTTTTAGGTCCACCCTCGGCTCCAGAAACTCCAGGATAAAGCTGATGAGGTTGTGGCGGCACGAGTGGAGATGCACAAGGCCGTTGATACGCCTCAAAGCAAATGGGAAACTGTTGTAAGTCTCTTCAAACTTCCAGAGCTCGTTCCTTCCGATCTTGCTCATGCTCCTTTCAGGTTGAAGGTTCCGGTGCCGAGCAGGTAGCCGAAGTTAGCGACACCGTTGTCGAGGTCACCGGCGTCAAGGGGATTCATGACGTCGAGGAAGAGGTGCTTAGTGCGGAAACAAAAGATTCAACTGCCACCGAGACCAAGGAGGCCACTACCGCTTCAAGCAAGGTATCGAAACACCATGATACTCCAACTACAAAACAATTTTCAGGAATCCCCAACCAGCAGCGAGGAAGCCAAAGAGCTCCACAAGCAACCGAAAGAGGAGGTCCAGCTCGCCAAAAAGTCTCCAAAGCTCTCCCCGCTAGAGGAAATCCTGGTTCACAAACTCTCTGAAGATGGTGACGTCAAGGAATCCGCCGACTTGGGCAAGGTCATTGAAGAAATCAGGGGTGATGGGGATGAGAAGCAGCTGGATAGCGCTGAAGTTGAAACTAAGCCGACTACCACGATATCGACAACTACTGAAGCCCCAATGACTACTGAAAGTCTTGTGCATGAGCTATCCAAGGCGCTCAATAGCACAATATCGGAGGCAGTAGCCGAAGAGAAAGTGGAAATGGAAGTTCCGAAGAAGATGGGCAATGAGGAGAGGGAAAAGCCGAATCCGATGCAAGGGTTGATGGGAATGGATGAGCATAGTAGCTCCTCGGAGTCGAAGACTTCCAAGATTGTTGATGGCGAGAGTGGGGAGGTAAGTCGATGTTTTACCGCCTGCCCTAAAAGGCTTCTGGAGGCTTTAATGGCAAACCCTAAAAACCCTAAAACCCCACAACATCAAAAACTAGAGTTCCGTCTTTGGCTTCTAAATTTACACTAAAAATTCGACTTAAACCCGGATTAAATGCACGATCGAAAAATTTGAGAACTAAAGCACCGATGTTATTACGAGAAGCCGTCGACCTTTTAAAACTTAAATTATTTAGATGAAAGCTGAAGCCACAGAGAAGGAAAGCGCTGAAGATAAAGTTGAACCGACAACGCTAGAACCGGTAACGACAACAACTACTGGAGCTCCAGTGGAGACCACCACCGTAGAGGTCAAGGAAAAGGAGAAGGAGAAATCCGTGTTCAAGCAGATTTGGCCAACGGAGGTCGTGATTGAGGTATCAGTTCATTAAGGGTATGACCAAAGCCAATTAAGGGTCGTGAGTTCTACCTAGTGCCAAAAGGCGCCCGAGCGCGCGACTACTTGGAGCCGTACAGGGGTGGTGGCTATATGGTGAAGCAATCGGCTGACGATTGGTTCAGAGGACTGCATAGGGTAAGAATATCGATAGGAAAAATGTAGCTTAATTGCTTTTTTTTTGAAGTATCGGCTACTGAAAATTATAATTTTTTTAAACATTCGTCGCAAGATAAATTCAGTATAGCAAGATTTACCCTAATTCCAGCAACTCAACGAGGCCTAACGCGTCACCCCGAATACGCCCACGCCAATTTTTAATAAGCTTTATACCCCTTTTATGTGTCTGTAAATAAATGCTCGAATTTATAATGACCGGGGCGGAAAGGGGGGGGGGGGGAAGAGGGTGGACGATCGACAAAAATTAGGGATTCGCGATGCTGCTGTCGTGTTGTATCGGCGGGTTGAACTCTTGGGAAACGATCGGGCGGGCATTTCTGGAATGAATGCAGTCATTCTACAATTTTTGCTGCTAGTTACGAGCCGCATTGCCGCCGAGGATTTTTTGGGTAGGGTTTTAGTGCGTTACTTAATGAATTTCATGCTGTAACATGGTAGATATTGATTTTTGCGCCTTGCGATGTTGATCTAACAATTTCAAACTCTCTGAAAAATAACTAAAACCTTATATTAATGTGAAAAATGTCATTGAAGAAACTTTAACGCTTAAAAGACCATTAGCAAGTTCTCACGGTTCGCACGCTTTTTGTTGTATTCCCACTTATAATATAAGTCTTTAAACCTTAAAGCAGCTTTTTTGAATCTCTAAATTGTGCTCTCTTACTACTTTCCAAGTATTTTACATGGCGGAAACTGACGCTCAGTATTCTACAAATTTAGCTTAAGAAATGCGAGCTTGAGAACTTTGCGAGTTTTGCTCATTACCTTCAAAAACCTTTAAAAACTTCCAGATAGCCACCACATTGTCAAACGTTCTCTGAAGGTCACCGAAAATGTGGTGGCCATTCGGGTTGACCACATCTACCGCCTCGTTAAAATCGGCGGTTTCAAGATTGAAAAGGAGCTCCGTGCACCCCCGGGTCAATTTGGTCCCCCGTCGAACCGCCTGGGTAGCGAGGAGGAGGTGAACGTGGTGACGGAGTGCGACGATTTGACGACGAAGGGAAAGAGCACTTCTGTAACGACTCGGGGTCCAGAAAAAAGGCCAAACGTCACTAGACCCAAGCTCGAAAATCAAGAAACGGAATGTGAGAGCACGACAAAAAGGATACCGACTGATGGGGAGACACAATGTGATGGCAGTACCACCACCAATATGGAGGTCGAGTCTACGGAGACAGAGTGCGACAATCAAACGACTACATCCAAGGGGATCGAGGATAACGAGGAAGAAAAGGTAGACGTTGAAAATGAGGACCAGGAGATTCTTGGCAACACAGGCCTCACCGAGTGTGACACGACGAAAACCCCTGAGCCTAACGACATCGAGTGTGATGACACAGAATGCGATAGTACCCAGCCAACCGTGCCTAAAACCAGACCTTCGACTTCCGACTCTAAGATTACTCCCGATGATGGCGAATTCCATGGCTATGGCGGCATCACTGAGTGCGAATCGCCCAGCACTGAACCGGTAGAAAACGGGCTCTCTAGGAATCCCATGGACGGCGAAGGACGTGATGGTACCGATACAGTAAGCACCGAGGCCTCGACTAAATGCGACACGGTCGAAACGCAACCTCCGGTGGAGATGGAATGTGACTCTTCTACCACGGCGACGTCAGAGGGAGAAACAGAGTGTGACTCTAGCCCCGCAAGTCGGTCATCAAAAAGTTCCACCACAAAAGGACCGACAACTGAGTGTGACTCCTCGTCGACAGCCAGAACTTCGCCAGACGTGGAGACAGAATGTGACTCCTCTACGCCATCGCCGGCCGCAGAAGAAGAAACGGAGTGCAGCTCAAGTTCTACAGGGCAACCTGCTTCTGGAGCGAGTTCGGAAGAAGCTGAGACCGAGTGCGACTCAAGCTCAAGCCGGTCTTCATCGACATCGATATCGATCGACGCAAAAACTGAATGTGATTCCTCAACCACGAAGCCTACCGAGTCAAGCTCCACTAAAGGATCTTCGACAACCTCTCATTCAACGGTACCGGAAACCGAGTGCGAATCTTCTACCACGAAGGAGACCCCGGAAGAGGAAACAGAGTGTGACATTACCAAGACGCCCTCGACTGAAGCCCAGACCGAGTGCGAGTCCTCGACACAACCGCCAAGGATCCGGCAACCAACGAGCGGAGAAACGGAATGTGAATCCAGCTCCAAAGGTACGACTTCGACGTCGCCAGAAGCGGGAACCGAGTGTGAGTCTACCAGTATACCTCCCCCTGAGAAGTTGATCACTGGCGAGGGTGAAACTGAATGTGACTCTGCGAGAGAGGGTAGATCTGCAACCAGCCTCTCGTCGACGAGTCCTAGAGGACCAGAAACTGAATGTGACTCGAGTTCCACAAGACATTCTGGAACGAAGTCGACTGATCCGGGAACGGAATGTGACTCAAGCCCTACTAGTCATTCTTCGACAAGTAAGCCCTTTACAGATCCGGAAACGGAATGTGACTCCACGACGGTAACTCCTTCGCCTTCGACAGATGGAGAAACGGAATGTGAGTCAAGCTCAGCAAGTCCAAAATACCCTGTAACGCGCCCGACTTCTGTCGATTCAGAAACAGAATGTGACACGTCAACAAAGGATCCGTCAACGGAAACTACGGAAAGCCCTACAATTCGGCGAAAACCTGAAGCTTCCTTGGAAGAGGCTGAAACCGAATGTGCATCGAGTTCCACAGCCAAGCCCTCCACTATCGACGATGCCGAGACTGAATGCGAAACATCTACGAAAACTTCGACCCGAATCATCTCCATCACAAGTGCGCCTCCAAAGATTATCACGAGACCAACGCGGACGGTTACAAAATCGATAACGGTTGACTCGAGCGCTGTGATCGAAGAAGTTACGGAGACTGAGTGCGACTCCAGCTCCGGCAGCTCTACTACGAATGCAAACCCTACTGAACTCGAGACTGAGTGTGAGTCAAGCTCTACGTTTAGGCCTACTACAAGTCCAACTTCAACAGCGGCGGAGACTGAATGCAATTCCGACTCAACACGGCAAACTGGAAGGACCAGCACTTTTCCCAAAACAGAGTATGCGACGAGTTGGACCAGAAAGCCCTCCACAGAGCGCGATCCGTCCGATATCGAGACCGAATGCGAGACGAGCACGATGAATCGACCGAGTACAAGTCCATCCACAACAGAAATCGAAACTAGCTCAACTTCTACGGCTAGGCCATCGTCAAGAACCGAACCTAGTGAGTCGGAGACAGAGTGTGACAACGACCCAACTGCGCCCAGCCCGAGTTCTACCGATCCGACAGAATGTGAATCGAGCTCGACTCGAAAAATAGCTAGCTCAACAGCTACGACTAGACCATCAACAAGTTCTGAATCTGTTCGGCCGGAGACTGAGTGCGACTCAACTAGGACAAGCCCAAGTCCGGTGGAACAGGAGACTGAATGTGAATCGAGCTCAACACAAAAGCATTCGACGACTCAAAGAGACCCAATACAGCGTAGCACTAGAGTTCCGGGCAGCAGCTCGAGTTCGCCAGAGCAGAGCTCAAGCGGAACGCATTCTACAAGTATGAAGACAGCCGATCCCGAGACCGAGTGTGACGACGGCACGACGTCGACAAGTACAAGTTCAAGCACGTCAAGCTCGACCCAAAAGCCGCCAACAAGACCCACTACCGTAGAAGATGAGACTGAGTGCGATAGCAGCTCTACCGAACAGCAATCCACAAGCTCACACCCGACAAAGACCAGTCGCCGCTCGGGCTCTACTCCTTCGGCTTCCACAGCCGATCCCGAGACGGAGTGTGACAACGACACGACATCGACAACTGCAACCTCCACCGAGGCTGTGACCGAATCTGAGTCGAGCTCGACGAAAAATCCTTCCACACCGCAAAGCCCAATGGAAGATGAAACTGAATGCGATAGCAGCTCAACGAATAAGCAACCTACCACATCAGGTTCGACACGAGCGGAAACAGAATCTATCTCCACACGCACAGGGCCCACGAACAAAAGTCCAACCGATGCCGAGACCGAGTGTGAGAGCGACTCAACGCCGGAGAGCACTAGCTCAAGCTCCACGAAAAGACCCTTGACGACGCCGAGCCCAATACCTATAGATGCGGAAACAGAATGCGATAGTAGCTCGACTCAAAAACACCACTCGAGCTCGAAATCGACACCTCTGACTAGCGGAACTGCCACAACCCCTCACCCAACAGAGGCGGAGACGGAGTGTGAGTCGAGCTCTACATACGCTACGACTGCCACTCGAGGTGGTTCCACTGGCAGCTCAACGACGAGAACTCAAACTTCCGCTCCTGAGGAATCCGAGACCGAGTGCGAGTCGACCCCAACAAAACCGCCTTCAACAAGTGCAAGTTCGCCGGAAGCCGAAACCGAGTGCGATTCGACTTCCACAACCGGGTCTTCAGGACTGCCAAGCTCCACGAGCCGTTCGACGACGAACTCAGGTTCTGATGAAACCGAGTGTGAATCAAGTTCGACAGCCCGGCCTTCAGGACAGCCAAGCTCAACGAGCCGTCCGTCGACAAGTTCAGCTCCTGATGACGAGACCGAGTGCGAGTCGAGTTCAACAAGTCGACCTTCGACAAGCTCTCGGCCCAAGGTGGAAGAAACTGAATGCGACTCGAGTTCGAAATCGACATCGTCAAGAAGTTCCAGCACAGCTGAAGCGGAGACCGAGTGCGAAGAAAGCTCGACAACCCGGCCCTCGACAAGGAGCGGTTCGACCGAAACGGAAGCCAACGAGTCAAGCTCAAGATCGAGGCGCTCGACAAGTTCCACCACCAGTGAAGCGGAAACCGAGTGCGATTCCAGTACGGCGTATGATACTGATGAAAGAACAACCACTGCGCGCACTACAGCAACAGACACACCAAACCGTGGAACCCCGCCCGGACCTCGGGATCCAGCTACGCAACGCTCCAGCTCGCGAGCTACGAGCTCCACCTCGAGAGGAACAACCGATACCCCGGATCGGGGCACCCCACCAAGACCATCGAAATCATCAAGTGTCAAATCATCAACGACCTCGCTTGATGTCACCCCGATCTCGAAAGGTACAACAGAAGAGATGGAAATCTCTGAAACGGAGTGTGATCCCGACAGTTCCACCTTATTACCAGGGAGTAATGAAGAGATCCCAGTCCCGATGCAAGAACTGCAGGTTGTCCCAGATTGTTGCCCGCCAGAAGGCGTCTGGTCCGAGTGGACTTCGAATGAGAAGTGCTCGGATTATTGTGGGGCCTGCGGGAATGTGACGTCGACGAGGAAATGTCTTTCGAGGAGGAGGGGATGTCCTTGCAAGTGAGTTCCATATAAAAGTCGAGTAGCGCTGCAGACGCCCCCAGCCAAACCTGAACTACCGTATCACCGCTCCCCATTGTCCTACCGGGTGTAATGTATGCCAAAATGCTCGCCAGACCAAGAGGAACATTTTGGTATATTTAATATACACATGTAGTACAAAAGGAAGCCGAGATACAAGAGTTTGGGGTCGGCTGACGTGAGAGTATCTGCAGTCTCACCTAGTACTTACAGTTAGCGATATCTGCATCTCTAGCTATACGTTGTAATAAACCTGATATCCCTTCGTAATCGTTTAGGGGTTCATCCTCCAAGTACGCCGAATGTCACACCGAAGTCTGCGAACTACCCCGACAGCCCTGTTGTGCCGGCCACGAGCCGGTGTTCAGCAACAACACGCTGACTTGCGAGAAAAGGGTATGTTTCCTTGAGCGAGGTCAAGCTAGATTAAATTTAGAAGTTAAAGACGTTGCCTTGCGAGCCGAAATGTTGCCCGGCGGAGGGTAAGGGCAACTTTGCCGGTAAGGCTGGGGTTTTTAGGGATTTGGTCCGAGTGGGCGAGCATTGGGGCGTCCGGACAAAAATTGGAATCGGATGCTAACAAGGAATGTGGAATGTGCTCGTTCCGAAGGGAACTGCGACGATGTCTTTCTGAGGATTATGGATGTGCTTGTTCGTAAGTATGACGACAGAGAGAGAGAGAGAGAGAGAGAGAGAGAGAGAGATAGAGAGAACGCGAGGTTTTCTAATTTTAGCAATGAAACTTCCTATCGTCACGTCCACTACGGCAATGAACCCTGTACGACTCGAAAAAATCTCACAACAGCCCCCTATTGTTGCAAGCCATCAAAATTAATGGAAGCGGATAATGGTAAATATTTGAAGTAGCTAAGAACTCCAGGAATCTCCTGTTTCCAGGCACGCTGTTCTGCATCCCAGAAAGACTACTACCGGTCAAGCCAAGGCCAGATCGCTGCTGCTTGAATGCGGGTCAGAAATCGACCCCAAAACGCTTCGGATTTCGTTTTATTGTTTTCCAAAGTGTCTCATGCTTGTTAGAGGAAATCCTTTGGACTGCGCCATTTTAGAAAGTGGCGGCATTTGGGAGAGCTGGAGCTCGTGGTCGACGTGTACCCGTGACTGCGGTTTGTGCGGTTCTCGACAGCGTACGAGGCTGTGCGCATCCGAAAAGTATGGATGCCAATGCAGGTAAGTAGTAATACAGTGTGTGCCAAAATGATAGGGGAATGGAGTTTTTAGCCGTTTTCTCGGCCGTCCCCCATCTCCGTGTACAACCAAATCATAGGCCGTATAGCCCGAAAAAAGACGCGTCTTTTGGTGTACTTGAATTCTCTTTACGATAAAAGATCACGTTTTTAGAAGCGATTGTATAAAAATAGGGAAAAACACAAGTGACAAAATGATAGGGGAATCATTAACATATTATTTCCATGAACTTTCTGTATGAATAGTGGATGTTGATCGATTTTAATTACAGATTCATTGCAGGAGAAGATGTAAAAATCGTAATTGTTGGCCAAAATTCCGACCGGAAGTGCTCAGTCAAAATGTACATATAATTAGCATCTAATAGTCATACTGAGAGTTGATGTTAACGATATGTTAATGATTCCCCTATCATTTTGTCACTTGTGTTATTTCCCTATTTTTATTCAATCGCTTGTAAAACTGTTATCCTGTATCGCAGAAGTATTTCAAGTAGACCAAAAGATGCGCGTTTTTCCGGACTACAAAACCTGTAATTCGGTTTTACAGCTACATGCAACATCGCAAAGAAATCGACAAAAAACTTCATTCCCCGATCATTTTGGCACACACTGTAATACGTATAAATTATTTGTCTTTACGTTTTGGTGGCTAGAATTAAAATCTAACCGGCTTAAAGGGATCCGTTAGACTCTTCAGAAAAGGTACCGCAATTCTTCACGCAGTGAATTTCGGTCGCGGAAAAGCATATGAAGCACGAAGAATCGATAGTCATGCCTTGTCTGCTCCTTTAAAACGGCTACATCTGTCTCTTCTATGTATCTTGACGTCAGCTCAAGAAGATGCCTATTGATGATGTGTCTGTGTGTCAGAAAAAGATGCCTAATTTTTGGTGCTCTCAAATTCCGAGCATACTTTGCGATCTCACCTTCCACATTTTCTACCACAGGGATTGTGGTAGAAAATAAATTCCATTTAGCATCGGCAAAAAGGAAGAGCTCTCGCCGTGCGGAAGTCCGGTCTGTCTGAACCCACGTGGAGCCCCATTCTGCTGCCAAGGAAATCTAACCATCGCCAGCGATCGCGTCTCCAAATTCTGTCAACTTTAACGAGTGGGTAACCATAATAAATATTTATCCGGTGGTCTCGAATCGAGTGTGTTAAGCAGATTATTACAAAAGCAAAGCACTTGTGAAGCACACGAAAAAAGAGCTAAGTAGATATCACAAATTCACAGAATAAAAAAAGAAGAGTGAAAATGACTATTCCTGTATGTATTTTTCCCGATAGCACTCGCGCATTAGTTTGTCGAGAAGCTGGGACCCGTCTCTGAAAAAATCGAAAATGGATTAATCAGAAAAAGTGAAAAATAAGAAATTAAACTCACTTGAAGGTATAATCACTGGATGAGAAGTACACTGTACATAGGTTGAACATGGAGGTGAGGGGTTGGTTTTGCTGAAAAAAATAGATGTAACTACAGTGGGAGCGAGAGAGAGCAAGAGAGAGAGAGAGAGAGAGAGAGAGAGAGAGAGAGAGAGAGAGAGAGAGAGAGATACAGCGAGACAAAGACGTAAAAAATACCTTTTGCCCTGCCAACTCTCGCAAGGCCCCAATGCGACTATTCATAATCGGCTCATTTGGGGCGACCCGTAGCGGATGATTGGCGTTGGCAGCTTGGTGCTGCACAAAAAGCTCGAAGACGGCGACTAGAGTGCAGAATCTAAAATTATATCTTATAGAGGCAAAAAATACGGGTCTACTTGTGACTATATTGATTTCGTTTGGCGGTGATAATTCCGGAGAAGAGACCCTGCTTCTCCTCGATTTTGGCCTTGGATAGCCAGCGTTGTAGTAGCTGGACAGGTTCTGGAAATTCAAAAAAAATAGGACCAGCAGGGAACCGTAATTACCAGTTATTGTAGAAGCTCCACGCGCCACCAACGGACACAACCATTGGAGTACCCGGTGTAGCAGGACAAGTACTGTCGCCTCGTCGTCAACATACCTGTAAATGCGGTTTTTCTGCAGTAATTACACTTAATCGAAAAAAGCTTCGTTGACTCCAAAATTTGCTATGTAAATGTATTCACCAAAAATGAATAAAATCGTCAGCTAATAAAATCCCGTACCCGATAGCAATATTGTAAAAGCCAAATAAAAATCGAAAATTGAAAATTATGAAGACCTCAATAATTTTAAAATCCCACCATCCATCAGTTGCAAGCAGTAAACTGAAACTAACATCTCCCAAAATTCAGCAGTTCCAAAATCTCGGAATAAAAGCCTACTTTGGCTTTAGCCTGTCTAAGTAGACGAGCACAGCGTGAAATCGGTCGTCCGCGTGCACGCCGTGGTCAAGCAGGGCTCGGAGCGTGAGCAACAGTGGTTGGACTTTGTTGTCGCTGCTGAAAAAGTATTGCTATCTCTATATCTCCCTCTGCTTCTACAGGAAACACCAAAAAAAAAACTATAATAATACTCACTTGGGAACTGTCAATAAATAATGGAATATGGAAGGGATCTGCTTGGCAGGGAACATGCACCACTCCAGCAGGTCGGCCCAGCACGCGTCGGTTCCTAAAATTTCAATGGTAAAATGAAAATACAAGTGAAATTCATACTTTTAAAATACGCCTGAATGGCCTTCTCCATCACTTTCAACGCTGTCGTCAGTTGGTCGATGGACAATGAGTCGATGATGGTGGACGGAACCTGGAGCGTCAGCGGGGAGGTTGGGTTTGCGGCCAGGTAGGCGGTCAGTCCGTTGACGAGGGTTTCTAAACGGAATTGAAAATGATCAGATTTAAAAGCACAGAATCCATTCAAAGGAAGTTCCATCAAAATTTAGATTGAATCCATATGCCTTGTCCTTTAAAAAGACCAAAATCGTACCTCCCGTTTTGACGTCCGGAATTTCCGTCCAAATCGCGCTCAACTCTCGGCTGACCGTCGAAAATGGCTTCCGGTCGCTAGGTCCTAAAATATCATACATTTCCAAAAAAGATGTGTAAATTAAATTTTAATTTAAAAAATTTCCACGTTTTTTCAATCAATAAAACCCACGATGCGCCTTTGCAATCGCGTCACAGTCGGCAATCAAATTGTTATAATGCACGAGGACTGCCTGCTCATTTCCCCTGAATAACGATGCCATAGAACATTCAAAAATTAAATATACCGTAGCATCAATCGAAGCTCCGACCGCACGAACGCCCGCTGTTTCCCAAGCACTTCATTGCTGATATTCTTCTCCTGGACCGAAAAGAGGCAGATCTTGCGCCAGAGTCTAGAAAATCCAGGGTTTTTTCGCACTTTAAGTCCTACGGTAGATAGACAGAGAGGACATCGGTAGAATTCGAGAGGCAATCAGCAGGGAGACTTTCACTGACCAGGCGAGATATCTGAAACGGGTCGGAATTACCTTATTAATTCTATCATGATTTTCAATTAATAGTAATTAAAATAACGAAGCCGGCAAAGCTAAAACGCTAAAAATAAATCTTACCGCTTCACAGTCCTCTGGTGAGATCGTCTTCCACTCTGGACGAGGCGTCAATTGCTTCAAAATTTCGCAGAGCGATGCACGCACCTAAAAAAAATCGCGGTGAGCATCACTTTCTCACATTTTTCACGCCATTAAAGACGCTAGGAAAATACCTCGGAGTTTCCGCATAACGACACTTTTTCATGTGATGCACCCCAAAATGGTACCTTTGTATAATTCGCCGGTTTGGCTACGATTCGCGTGATGACGTAGAGCAACGTGGCCAGGTACTGGGGTTGTATTTCGGGTGGCACCTAAAAATAAAATTTTCGAATCACTATTACTACTCGCTTTACAACATTCATTCACCTAAATTAGAGCATGGATTTCTTTTAATAAATTAAATGAAACTAAATGCAAATTACATTTTGAGAAAGCACATCCATCCAGGGGACCCGGACAAACACTTGGGTGACCAGGTGGAAGCAGTCTGGGGAGCGGGAGGAGAGCACCTAAAGTCCGTAGGATTTGAATTTTAATTAAGATAAATTCGACTAAAATTGACAAAAAATTAAAGTATATTTTTGTACCTCATTCATCGCCGTGAGGGCCCTCAACGTCGGCCAGAATGAGGGCCAGTGAATTCGCATCAAATTTGTTTCCTAAATTCCGACTTACAAGCGACCACAGGCAAACGTACCAATACGCTAAAGTACGGCCCGGTGCCGTGCGTGATCTTGCTGAGCTTTTCGCAGAAAAATTGCCATGTGAGTGCTTGCGTGTTTTGTTGACCTAAATGGATATTTTTGGGATGATTTTAAAATGTGGCAAAACATCGATAACACCGTAAAATTAAAAGCAAATCTCAAAAGACATACCTGGTGCCAAGCAAGCATTATACGGAAGCGCGTTGATGTGCTGCACCATCCGCTCGACGCACATGTTGGCTTCGGCGAGGTGCGACTGCGAGAATGGAGGTACTGAAGGGGAGGGAGGGGCCAGAAGTGGTGAGAACAACGCGACGATTCGCGAGAACGCATCGACGAGCGCTAAAAATGAGGATAAAATGGCTAAAGGTCCCCTTACATTTGATAAGTATACTTTCCGGGATCGAACCATCGAACGTCTCGCGGACGGCGGTGTTGAGGAACAGCTGCGCCAAGCGGGTGACCGGATTGATGTATCTGGAAACAGGCGCATCACGTACTAAGTGAGCACTATCCCACCTTGACCAAACCGAGAAGAAATTTGCCCCGAGTAGCACCCGAGCCTCCGCCAAACGTCGTGTCAGCACCACGCAGCATTCCAGCGACTAAATTCCGTGGGGCTCCAATATATGCTCACTAGCTTACCATGCTACCATTAACGACAAATTCCCCTTTCGGTTGTTCCCAATGCTCAGCATCAAGCCGGTCGGCGATCACCTCGAAGAGGTGAGTTGGGGCCGAGCCGGTGCTGCATCCTGGAAAATTAGGGGAATTAACCGAAGTCAGAAGTACTACCTCCAAGTGACGTATCAAGCCCGTAGACAAAATTGAGCGGAAATTTGTGAAATATGAAAGTGACGAGGTGTTGGAGGCACAGTTTGTGTAGATCGGAGTTTGGGTCGGGTTGAGAGGCTACCTGAAAAAATTGTTGGAGAGAGAGAGAGAGAGAGAGAGATAGAGAGAGAGAGACAGAAGGATGCCTGAAAAACCCGAACTTACGTTATTAAAAGCCAACGGAATAAGCGAAGCAAAGTGCTGAGCCGGGAGTGTAGCTGCCGTTTGGTCGATTTCAAGACGTTCTAAAGGGATTGGTAACTTAAAATCGTCTCCGAAAACTCACGCAAAAGCTTGAAGGCGCTCTGGCTCTGCTCCAGGTTTCCGACCTTTTCGCTCAGCCGGCTGTAGCATTCGGAGAGTTCTTGCGCGCTCAGGCAAGCTGGGGTGAAGGCCTGAAAGTCGTAGAAGAATTAAAATTGTGCAGAATGTGTTTCGCTAACAATCACTCCCTTGACGTTTATCTAACTCAGCTTACCTCAACCAACGGCCCGGACAGCACAAATCCATCCAGCACCAGCCGCATCACTTGGAACTGCTCCTCCGGTCTCATCCTGACGAATTGCTGTCCCAACACCTGCAGCACGCTCTCGAAGCTGGCGGTGGCCGCCGGGAAGAGCATCGCCTCGTTCGTGATGCTAAATTTTCAAAAGTTACGCTGCGCTCATAAGCTATACCTCGAGGTCACCAAATAGAACAGACTGCGCCCAACAGCTTGAATGCGATTCCGTTGCAGACCTTCCATAAAAGACGCCGAGCTGGCGACTTGGCTAAAAATAAATACTGTCAAAAGTAGTGTGGACGAACAGTGCGATAAATTCCATGCTGGCTGTCTGCGTGGCCGCCGTGTCGAGGAGGGAGGCCTAGAAGAAAAGTTTCTGCAATAAATCTCAGTCTTACCTGAGCCGATGCAATACTTGTCCCGCGTCGCTCTCGGTTTTGGGTCATTTCGGCGTCGCAGTGGGTGCTGAACTCGGTGGCGGTCACCTGAAATTACGGCAAGTCTCTAAAAAGCACCGGAGTTACCATACCTGAACTGTAGCCTGGTTCGGACGTTGACATCTGGTTCCGCATTGGACCATGACGGTGATGCTCCTCGCCACTCCAACATACAGCCTCGAGATGAGCTCGCAATATTTTTGGTCGGTCGTCTCCAGCTCGTCGGCGATGGTGACGAAAGAGCTGGAAAGGATGTATACGAGAGCGAGATAGATAGATAGAGAGATAGAGATAGAGAGAGAGAGAGAGAGAGAGACACTTACTCGCTGAGTTTATTAACGTTCCGTAGAATCGGCTGGAACAGTGACATGACGACGTTTTGATCCATCATTTGTAGATCCAGCTAAAAGATAACTTTAAGAACAAACTACAAAACATACCCTCGGTGCCGGCGGCAATCCCGGATGGGTGGGTATCGTAGGGAAAGTCACGGCTCTGATGACACGATCCCGATCCGACGGCCCAGTCCATCCGTTTTGCACGGCTCCCTTGCGCTCCTCATGACACACGACGTTGTAAAGCTGAAAATACGTAAAATTTTCGATTTAAATAACTAGAAGTGTGTTGCTGTCCCTTTAATCACCTTCATCTCCTCCTGGGCTGCCTGGTGGATCGTCGACAAATCCAAGAAGTCCATCCACGCCGACTTGTCTCCGGACAGAATAAGCTGGAGCAGGTAGTCGAGGTCGAAATTCGAGAAATTGACGTTCGGCGCGTTCAGGTCCTTGTTGCTGCCCATCCAGCCGGCAACCGCCTAAAAGAATCAACACAATAACATAAAAAAATCGTTATTACTACCTTATAAAATCCTTTGGGGTGTGACAAGATGTCCAATTTTCTTCTACAAGTCGAAAAGGTCGCTGCGGAGATGGTGGAATTGGAGAGCCGCGACGCGAAAACATGGGTTTTCCTGAAAATAATTTGTTAGAACCTATTTCCGTGCTGGTTATTTGATTATTCTAGCTACATTCAAAAGGAGCCCTCGGAAACTGCAAAATTTAGTACATTAGGATTGGCAAGGATTAAAAACAGCAAATGCGTTACATTAATAATAAACATTCTTTACCCAGGTAAGTCCTCCGGATCTCTAAAATTCTATGTGTTTTTGCGCAAAAATTCGGCAAACAATTTACGCTAGAAAACCAACCCCAAAGACGGTCGTCTCGAAAAGAGGAACGTTGCGAGTTGCTGAACGAAGAGGGGCAGGATCTAGAATAAAAATTTCCAGCCAATTTTATAAGTTTACAGGGCTCTCCGCACACAACACCACTGCTTCCGCCCACCGCGCGCTGGCTATTCGCTCAGGCCCGAGGTGGATTGACGATTTTTGGGCGGCTTTCTAAACTTTGGATTTTTAAGCCGCAATTTAGAGCTCACCTTGCAAGCCTGATCCACCGGAACTTTGTCTTTCTTTGCGAGGGCCTCCCAGAGATAGGTGTAGTACGTGGGGAAGGAATCCTGAAATTTATATTGGATAGAATCATTGATTCGTTATGATGTTATGGCGTTACGCTGTTGTCCGTTATGAGCCTAAATTACCGTACCTGCTCAACGAGAAGCAACAAATACGTGGCCCAAGGTGATACGGGATAAGAAGCCGGAAGGATGAGTTGAGTTGGGGGCGGTTCGCCGGATAGAAAACCCAGAAATCCTTTCGACTGCTCCTTGGCCGTATTTTGGAGCTTCTGGAAAGCGTTTACATTAAGTACTAAAACACTGTAATTAAGTTTCAAAAAATTCGTCGAAAAGGCTAAAAAAATCTACACTTACCGCATAAATATCAAACAGCGTCTTCCTGAGCCCCAAAAACTGCTCGTTGTCCCGTTGGAAGGCGATTTGAGCGATTGTTCCCAGGATTTGCAGCGATACCTAAAATGAATAATTAGTCATTGGATTAAACAATTATTTTCTAAAATATTAAAAACTATAATTCATAAATTAATCATAATCCCAAAAACATCGCTAAATCTACCGTACCTGATCACTATTCCAGTAGTAGACCTTCTGGGCAGCCAGCAGCTTCACCCAGGCGCCCAAAAAGGACGGGAGGTCTTGGATCGTTTGGGAGACCACCTAAAAAAACAAAAATCCGTTAGGCTCCTATGCACGTACCAGAATGTGGGCGCGGAGTATTCGTACTACAGGAGTTGGGGTGGCTGAAGTTCCGGCAACGAGTTGAACGGCATACGAGCATTGGTCCGAGTGTAGCACTCGTTCGGCCATTTCGACAAAGCTAAAGCTCACAAAATTAGAGAAACTTTGAAGCCTAAGCTCAAGAAGTCGAAGCCAAGCCAAAGCAAAGCAAGCCAAGCCTCTTTAAGAAAACCAGCCTCTCATTGCACCACAGCTTGTTCGCTTCCGGGTAGAAGCGCAGCAGGATCCGGCCCAACAGTACGGCACTGGCCACCGTACACCCCGAGTTCACCAGGTCGTTCATCATCGGCACGCCCTTGTCGAGCAGGATGTCGAGCCTGAACGTCTTGAAAAGACCGGGATAAGGATGCCTACTTGGCGATGGCGTGTTTCGTCACGTACACGAAAAATGCGGCCAAATCTTGCTCGCAGGGCACGGTTGTGAGCTAAAAGGTTGATAAAGACGTACAATGGGCTAAGTCTACCTGCGTGGTCAGCTTTAGCTTGATCAAAATGTCCCAGACGAACTGGTTGAAGTGGGTCTCGTAGTCGGGGATCTTGCTGACGAGCTTCGAGATCTAGAGCAAAACATAATGACTTGAAAATCTTCTAAAATAGAAAACTTAAAAAGTGTGCTTTAGAAAACTATAGAAGTTGTGGTGCACAATCGACATTCCTTAAAGCGTACGGTATCAAAAAGTTGACGTACGAACGGAACCTTACGTAGCCATGTCAAGAAATAATTTTCCTAAATTTTTGACCGTCCGAAAAAAAATTAACGAAGCCAGATGAACTCCTTGATAAGCTCGGTCTACGCGGAAAGATATTCGTAAATGCTTTTGACGGCCCAAAAAGAGGTAATGAGGCTTTTTGAACGTCTTGACAAGCTCAGTCTATAGAATTGGATACCTTATTAATGCTCTTCGCGATCATGCCATTGCTCTTGCCACAATGCGCCGTGTGAGCTTTCACGACGGTAGCTGCACACATGTCATGGATGCCGGTGTCCATCCACAGCGACCCGTCGGGACCATATCCCCAGTTCAGCGACGCGAGGATACGGCGAGCCAGTCGGTTTGCAGCGTGGTCGGGCGAGCGACTGATCAGCCACTTGCCGATGGTGCTGCCGAGAACAGCCTAGAAAATAGAAGTCACTGATGATGAAATCATCTTATTTTACTTTCTTAATTCTAGAAAGTAGAAAATTACCTGTGATACCCTGCACGACGTCAAATCGCAAGAAGCCAGCGTATCCACTGCGTAGCTGCCCATATGATCAATCATCCGATCCATGGTGGCTAGTAGTTGATCAAGCAACTGCGGCTTTCGGCCTATCATTTGCCCAAGCGCCTCGCCGCCGACCTTGTACAACAACGGTGCCGTCGTTTCGTCGCAGAAGCATAGCTAAAAACTGGGCATTAACGTACTACGTTCCCCTCTAACCTGGAAAACCTCTCGAATAAACTTGGTCGGGTCGGCCGTCGACACGCTCGTGATCATGGCCAACGAGTTGATCAAAAAGACGCTGTCTGGGTCTTCGGGATTGGAGATCTTCTCTTTCAAAGTGCACTTGTCGATCTTGGCGGGCAACTCGGTGACGGGGATATCGTAAATCTCCTTGGCTGTCAGCGCTGCGGGACTTCGGACGAGATACTGTAGCCTTGCACGGCAGTCTTCCGACACGAACTCGAACGGGAGATCCACCAGGAATTGGTAGAGGCCGAGGCTGAAACCCAATTTTTAATAAGTTTTTGGCTCCTACCTTTTGTGGAAGGTGATATACTGCACGGCCACTATCATGATTCGATCGACCTCACGCTGTAGCTGCTCAAATTCTGGTGGGAGCAGCAGGGATTTGGTGGTCTGCCAGAGATGGCAAAGTTCTCGCACGGATTGTCTGAGTTCAAAATAATTTTGCATTCTTAAACCTATACCTCAAGTACATCCCAATCTGCTTGCAAAACAGTTTGTATGACGGCCGACCATACGTGTTCAGCCCCTCGTTGAGCAGCTTCATCAACAAGAGCTGGAAGGCCACCAGTGAGGTAAAACGCGGACCATGTTCCGCCTGTTCTGCAGAAAATTGGAGATAGGCCAGGGAGTAGAAATCAGCGGCCGGTAGTTGATCAAGGAAAGCGACAAGATCCCGCTCGTCGATCGTCACGAACGAGAAGTTCGGATCATCTCCGTCGTCATCACTGAGGATGGCCCATCCTTGGTCCTCATCTTCGCCCTGACCGACTTGTCGTAAAAAGGCTTCTCGGGCTCTGATCGGCGACATTAGATGCCCGAGCATCGCCACGCTGTGGTCCACCTTCAACTTGTTTGGGGCGGACGAGGCGGAGAATGTCTGAAAATTTAAGCAAATAAAAGACGCCTGAGCTGTTTGAATACCTGTATCAACGGAGTCGCCCACTCCAAAACTGGCGACGGCAGGCGCAGTAGATGTAGTAGTATAAACTGGGCATCCTCGCTGCTGCACTTCTTGAAGAAGACGGCACAAATCTCCGTCAGCCACCCGGTGACCACGTCGATGAATCGGCGCGGGAGGTTGAGGAATCGAAGGTGGAAGCATAGGGCGGATACGGCATCTCGCATCAGACGCCATGACGGGGCCGGCGAGTTGGATGCCAGCACTGGAATTGTTTGATTTTTACAGGGATTGTAGATGAACACTCACACACTGGCGGGCTGTTCAGCGACAGGGTGTGCTCGCCCATGAATTGATTGTTGATGGCCAGCACCTTCCATTGGATTTGCAGCACCAGCGAGCTGAAGCAGTTCAGTGGGGAAATTTCGGGGAATTTCTTACCGGATCTCGACCTCGTGGTTTAGGCGCTGATTGAGGAGGACGCTTCGATTTTTGGAGAGTAGGCGCTTCAGGTCGGCCACTTTTGCGCCGGATAGGGTGGCTTTTTGGTAGCTCGCGTAGCCTTTTGCTTCACGATCATCACCACATCGGCCCTAAAAATTCGATTTTGTTGCGTTAATTTTTGTCGTTATAATTATTAAAAAATTTTACACGTTCGCTATTTTTAAATAAATAATAAATTCTATGTAGGTATATAAATTCGCCGACACCATTAATTATCTAGGTGAGTTAAAAGTGCTCCATTAAGTTGTTAAAAATTAAAAGTTGGATTTGTTAGACGTTAAGCTAAAAAAGTTATAAGTATAAACCAAGTCTTTAAAAAAAAACCCTCGGAATAAGCAAAAAGTCGAAATAATCACCTGAAAAGCAACCGGCTCCTCGTTGAGCATCCAACACTCGTGCAGGCATCTCGTCAACGCTTCAGAATTTTCCTTCTCTTCTATCTCGCCCAACACGGCCCTTTCACACAGTTCCTTCAGCCTTGCGAGAAGAGGAAAAAGGGGCCCCGAGGGCAGCTCTTCATTCTTAAAGCCAGATTTCATAAAAAAAATAGATGGCTAAAACCTGGATGAATCTGGTCGTCATCTCGTCGGCCAGCTCGTGGAGCGGGTTGTGGTAGTAGGAGAGCAAGTGTTCTTCGGTTAACAACCCATGTCGTGTTTTTTCAAACAATAGTTTTGACGCTGCTGGGTACATTGGGGGAGCCATGGCTTGAGGGGCAGAGACGATGGACGGTCGAGCTGAAATCGGATTTGAAATGAGTTTTTAACATTCTTGATTTTTCGAATATGATTTAAACCATTTAAATTGGCTAAGATTTTTAAATACGCATAAGTTATATTTTAAATACCGTACCTGCTGTCCTGGCTTCTTCCAAAAGTTCCGAATATGCTGGCGGCGGTCGCATTGTCGAGATCGGGATGTCATATTCCAATTCACGCGGTAATGACGGATAAGCGGAACGAGGCGGTGCCTGGAAAAAACTTTCGTATTTGACCAAAAGCTTACACTTTGTCGAACAGCCGTCTGAGGAGGAGCTTCGGCAGGAACGGGCGTTTTTTCGCTAAAATTTAACGTATCTCAAAACTCTTCCAGTCTGATACCTGGCCGTTTTTGGGAATATATAATTTATTGGAGGGGCTGTGGATGTTGTTGGTTGCGCAACGGAGGGTGTAGGTTGGTTGAAGACGATCTCCCTGAAAAGAACATTTGTTATGGACGATAAGAATCGATTTCAAGCTCAAAATTTCCACTCACTCTGGCTCCGGCGATGGAGATCTTGATCTAACGGCTGTCGATACCGCTGCCGAGGGCTCAGGTAACGTGTTCTGGCGAGGAGGTAGTGGTGGAGCTTCTCGAACCGGGGTCAACTCTCGGGGAGGTGCCACTGGAGCCACTGGAGTCTGAATCGGGGCCACGCGAGGCTTCGGTTTTGGCTTTTTCTCCCGCACGGCTTCCATCTAAAGTAAAATTTAAATCTATAAATGAAAACAACTACAACAAAAAATAGAATTAAAATGTATATAAAAATAATGTCTACCCAAGCAATGGCATCAAATAGATCGAACCAAAAAGATATGCTACTACCGGTTTAATGATGAAGGAAAATCGCTCAGACATCCCGGGTGTCACGTAATTTCTTGCGCAATCAATTGGTCTCTATTTGGTTTTGCACCAGATTCCTTTTGAAGGTCAGCTAGTCGATCGATAAAGGTTTTCCGCTATGCTAAATCGCATGTTCTTTGATTCTGGAGGAAATGGGCTCGAAGATTCGAAAGCTGAATCACTTTTTGAAAGATAACAAACAGATTTATAACGTGACCAATTTCATTTTGATGGCGAAAGCAAACAACAAGCGAGCGCTGTGTGTGGGGTGTACATAGTAGCACCCCGGAACGGGCTACATCTGGACCTTGAAAAGTTTTGCACTTCGACCTCAATTACTAATACTTTAAAATTGATAAAATTTAGATGCCACCGAAATTTCGTGTCGATCTTTACTACGACATCATCTCCCCATATGCTTGGATCAATTTTGAGGCCTGGCTGCGCTACGCAAAGGTTAATAATATTTTGTATTTATCAAGAAATTTTTTTTAGAAATGGCCTGTCGACCTGAACTTGAGGCCCTTCTATTTGCCGGGGATTTTTCAAAAGACGGGTACGTCTTTTATAAAATTCGAGAGCCTAGATTTAGGCAATATTCCACCAATCTCGATCCCCCACAAAAACGAGTACCTGGAGAAGGACCTCGAGCGTCTGAATGAATACTGGGGCACTGGGCTGGTCTGGCATGAGGTGGAGATATTCTTTGAAACACAGGAATTATGGTTTTTTAGAAATTCCGCACCGAAACTCTGAAGAAATCTTCGATTTATGCTCAACGCTTTTTGGGAGCCGTGCAGCTGTATGAACAGGATAAGGTGGGGTTTTGTTGAAGGTCTTATTCATCTCCGCGGATTTTTATTTATTAATATTTTTCAGTTTTTATCTATTGATTTCTGCTAATTTTCAGCTGATCCCGGCGAGTCGAGCTTTCTGGCGTCGTGGCTGGGTTGACAAGCAATCGGTGTATACGGATCAGGATGTCCTTGAGGTTTGTAGCTTCTCAATTAGAGTTAAAATCCTTCTGTCTAGGTCGCTAAGAGCATCGGCTTGAAGTGCGAAAAGCGGATCCTCGGCTCGCTGAAAACTGAAGAAGTCAAGAACCACATCATCGACAACACCAATCATGCGCTGGCTGATAAGGTCGGAGCATATATTCACTTGCACATTAATGAGTCTATTTTTCAAAAAAGCTTTCAGGCGTTCGGTACCCCGTGGCAAGTTGTCACATTCCCGGACGGGCGCAAGGAGTGCTTCTTCGGGTGTGATCGCATGCACTTGGTCGCTCAGGTACTGAAAAATCGTTCAAAATCAGTCAGTTCTTTAGACCCTCGGATTGCCGTACCACGGCCCGCTGAAGGAACTCGCCGACAGCACTTGAGGAAATTCGATATATAGCTGTAAATTTATGTATTGATCGACTATCGCTGGTATTCGCGTTGTACGTATGTGTCGATTGTAGATAGTATGGATAAATTATAGCAAGTATTGAAATGAGATCATGACACTTTGTTTGACACTCTAGCATAGATTTTAGATGTGACGCCAAAACAATGAAGGACACAATCGTGACTCATAGCAATCGGCCCGAGTTGAAAACTGCTTTTTTGGAACGTTTCTTGGGTA